ATTTTTTAGGGGTCGCTCAAGATTTTTAAAAATTACCAAAATCGTCAAAAATTGGATTTTTTTTCTCGTTCCGATATTATTTTTTAATTTAAAAATAATAATCATTCTGAAAATTTCAAATCGATATTTTAATTTCTAAAGGTCGCTCAAGATTTTTTTAACTTTCAAAGTAGAGTATTTTGTATGTTTTCGAGCGACCTCTGAACTTTTAGCGAACTTTAGAAATCAAAATATTGATTTGAAATTTACAGAATTTTTATTATTTTCAACCTAAAAAATAATATCGAGACGAGAAAAAGAATTAAAATAAAACAAAAATTCAATTTTTGACGATTTTGAAAATTTTTAAAAATCTTGAGCGACCCCTACAAAGTTTTTAATCGAGCTGATATTTTGATAGGGCTCTTAAAACATGACAAACCAACATATTTTCACAAGAGACGAAAAGAAAAAAAATATTCTTTTTTTTTGGGCCACCCTAAAGTAGATGCATACTTCAGAAGATACCATTTTCTAAATCTCTAAATATTTTCAGCTTTTGGTTAGGGAGGGTGCCAACCTGAACATAGCTGACAAAGACGGCGACACTCCTCTCCACGAAGCTCTTCGCCATCACACATTGTCGCAGCTGCGTCAGCTTCAAGATGTGCAAGACGTCGGTAAATTACTAATGGGTCTAGGATCGCAGGGTTCGGACAAAAAGTCGTCCGCATCCATCGCCTGCTTCTTGGCCGGCAACGGCGCCGACCTGACTATAAAGAATAAAAAAGGGCAGACTCCTTTGGATCTGTGCCCCGATCCGAATCTTTGCAAGACCCTCACGAAGTGCCACAAGGAGAAACAGAGCGGCGAGATGGAGATGGGGGCCCAATCAGAATAACCTGAACACGAATATCAGTTCCACGTTGGATGAGTGCTTGGTGTGCTCGGATGGCAAGAGGGATACACTTTTTCAACCCTGCGGGCACATTTCCTGCTGCTCCACTTGCGCCCCAAGGGTGAAGAAGTGCTTGTTATGCAGGGAATCGGTTGTCAATAGAATCAAGGTAAGAAACCAAATGGTATACCCAAATAACATTAGATATTCCTAGAATATTCCCCGCATAAACTTTTTTGAACATTGGAACATGCTTTAAAGATTCTCAGAATATATCCGTGAATTTTAGAATATTCTTAGAAAAGTGCAATGGAAATTCGTCAGATATTCTAAGAATATTCCTTTATGAATGTTCCAAGAATATTCGGAATATTCCAGGAATATGTATAGAATATTTAACTATAAGTCACCAGGGACATTCCTTTGACAATACAATTCATTATAATTAGAACCAATAAAATGCCAGTATTCCATGGTTACGCATTTTATCACAGTGACAATATTTTTTATCACCTTGTTTACACGTTGCTAAGGATTTTGACACTTTTCTTGATTTGACATTTGTTGACACTTAAATACTGTGTTTGTTAAATGAATAAAATAATGAATTATAAACTTTAAAAGATCGATTTATATTTTAAAGCACATTTTAATTTCAAATGTCAAACTGACAATTCGTTAAATCCTAAAATTCATTATATTTTCTCACTAAATATAACTCGTGGTATGATTAATTATCGATGATATTTACTCATTGAAACCAAAGCAGCACATTCTGCAGCTCGGTTTCAATTCGAAATTATTATCGATGATAATCATACCACTTGTTATATTATGGGTGAAAATATTCTTGGCATATTCGGGATATACCAGGAATATAATATAATAATAATAATATAGGTAATAATATAATCAAATATCATATACCTGGAACATTTTCTTGATAATGTGCATAGTATGTTCTTAGCAGTTTTGAATATTTTAAGAATATTCTAGGAATATGATCCAACATTTTATAGAAATATTACCAAAGCAATGTTATTTGGTTATTCCGGAATAACCAAAAAACATTGGTTTGCTAATATTTCTATGAAATGTTGGATCATATTCCTAGAATATTCTTAAAATATTCAGAACTGCTAAGAACCTGGTATATTTGGGATCAGGTTGTGATATATGTAGTATGAATAAAAAGTAGCATATACAGGGTGTCCCAAAAATCAGAATATCAAAACATGACCTTAGTAAAAAATCATTAGATTTTAAGATATTGGCATTTTTATGAATTTTGTGAAACTTGACACATAAAATCAGTGTTTCAAATGCCACACAACATTCTAAGAATATATATATTCTTAGATTATATTTTATTTTGGGTAACCCTGAATAGGACTGCTATTAATTACAATTCAAAATTAAATTACTAGTAGATTTTGTACTGATCTCAGGTGTCAAGTTTTACAAAATTCATAAAAATGTCTAAATCTCAAAAACTAACGATTTTTTTACTAAGGACATATTTTGATTTTCTGCCTAGTCATGAGTTGGTCTATCAGTCCTCCAAAGGATATAGTTGACTTTTGGTACACCCTGTATTCTAATCGTCTGGACCGTCGCTAGCTTTCAAAACAATAGTTAAAACAAAAACATCATTTTTAAGAATTGCTTACTGCGTTTCAATCTGCTTAAGTCGTTCTGGCGATTTGGCTAGCCATTGGCCCACGATCATTTCAACATTCTTCAATTGCACGTTTTTATCGTACTTTGGCATTGGAAATGTTTCCACAAAAAATAAAAATAGTTACAAATAACAATAATAATATTGTGCATTTTGGTACTGAAGAATCATGCTTTTTTCTATACTCCTACGAAATTCTACAGTAATATTCAATTTGTCCATTTTTCTTTTAAATTTTAATTAAATGGGTGAAATTAAGAACTGTACAATTCAAGGTCTTATACACCGTGAAGCAAGTCCATTTTTTTTATTTATCAATTTTTTGTTGTAAATTATCAATTTAAGAAAAATCATAAACAAATTATTTCAAACCAAAATGGACTTAAAATGTTCTTAATCTTACCGATTCAGTTAGACTAAATAAAAACATGTTTTTAGGTATATTCCTACAATATTCTACTAATATTCAATTGTTCCATTTTTTATTTAGTCTAACTGAATCGGTAAAATTAAGAACATTTTTGTTTTAAAAAATTTGTTTATGATTTTTCTTAAATTGATAATTTACAACAAAATGATTATAAGATAAACAGAGCAGTGCCTGGGATATACTGAAATGAATCATCCATAAATGTAACTTATAGACACGAATATTCTCTGAATATTACAAGAATATTAGGAATATTCTCAATCTAATACCTAAGTGTATTTAGAGATTATTTTAAGAATATCCCGTGCCGTCTGAGTAAATGAAATAATCCAACTGAAATATTCCTCTTTCAGATTGAGGAGTGTATGGTGTGTTCGGACAAAAAATCCTCGGTCCTCTTCAAACCGTGCGGCCACATGTGCGCGTGCGAAAGTTGCTCGCTCATAATGAAAAAGTGCGTCATGTGCAGATCGCAGATCGAGCTCATGGTACCCATGACCGTCTGCAGTGGCGGGTTGGGTACCATTTCGGAAGTGAAAGCAGACATCGAGGACGAAATAAAACCGTCTACGAGCGATGCTGCCAACCCACAGGGCCCGATAATGAACAACGGTGGCAGAGATACCATCAGCAATAACGACCTGCAAAAGCTTCAGCAGCAGCTTCAAGACATCAAGGAGCAGGTAAAAGGGGTTGCCTTTTTTCAAAATTTATTTCGAAAATATTGTTCCATATGCTGTCAAGGTTTGAGCTCTATTAATATTAATATTAAGAGGGTCATCGCGATTTTGAATTTCCCTTTTAAATAAATGTTTTTTAACTCGTCAATGCATTTTTGTATTGATAAGATCGGGAAATATTTTTGTAGGAAATTAAACGCTCCACAAAAATAATCTTTTATCATTTTATGAAAAGGGTACCCATTTAAAAGTTATTTAAGGTCAAAGTTAAATTTACAGTAAATTATATGATGTTTCTATTTTATCAACGAAACATCGTAAAATTGTATGGTACTTATTTTGTAGAACATTTTATTTTCCTAAAATTATTCCCCACAAAGTATTTAAAATTCCCAAAGAATCTGAATTTATTTACAATTAAAAGAAAATGTATTTAAAAAAAAACTGAATTGATCTTAAATCTTAAATAACTTTTAAAGTAGTATATTTATCAAAAAATGATAAAGGATCTTTTTTGTAGAGCATTCAATTCCCTACAAAAATATGTTCTTCCAATACAAGAAAGCGTTGACTAGTTATAAAATTGCAAAGATTAAATGATTAATAACATTTTTTTTAGACTATGTGTCCAGTTTGCTTGGATCGCCTTAAAAACATGATTTTCTTATGCGGGCACGGTTTGTGTCAAATGTGCGGCGATCAAATGACGGAATGTCCAATTTGCAGAAAACAAGTTGAAAAACGCATTCTTTTATACTAAACAAAATTTATAATTAGAGACTGTGAGTAATTGAATTTATATTATGAGTAAAATTATAGAACTTAATTTGTAAAAGTTAGATCTGAGCTTAGGATTTTTTTTATGTAGGCCTAAATAATAATAATTTTACCTTACCTTGTTTTAGACTGTTAAACATTTTATTTCATTATATTAAATTTTGATAGGAAATTTAAGCTTAAGTGCAATGACTTTTTACTGTTTTTGTTCATCTTGACTGTTTAATGTTTATAAAATGTGTAGGTAGTTAAAGTGTTATTTTTCTATAAATTCCCAAAATGTACAATCCTTAGCTGCTATTATTTAATCAATCATCTTGCTTGTTTTTTATGTAATGTTAAATAGTTAACTAACTATCCAATGTAACCTTTTATAAAACACGTTTAATAATAAAGATATCAAATTAAAGAAACTTGCTTTAATTTTATTTCAAATTTCGCGCCATAGCAACAGTTGGTACTAAAGTTGGTAACCCCAAACTCCCCTAGACAACTGTCAAAGTTCAACATAACCATACTTATTTCTGAATGTAACAATTTCGATAAAAACCAACAAAAATGTCGAAATCGGCCGACAAAGCGCTGAATTTATTGCGTTCACTACCGAGGCTTTGCCTGGGGAATATAAGAGACAACCCTGGAAGCAGAAGCGTAAGAATTAACCTCAAAATCTTGCAAATATTACTTAACTATTTTTTAGAGCCGCAAAAGGGGAAGGGGGCAGCATGGGGGCGATAAGCACGGTGCCGGTAACAAAGGATCCGGACAAAGACAGAATTACATGAGGTTAGGATATGAGACAGGAAATAATCCTTTTTATTTGAGATTTCCCAACGAACCTTACTACAAGGGGCACCAGTAAGTAATAATGATAATTGGGTAGGTTATAGTATTATTATTAATGTTTTTAGCCTTAAAAGGCAGTATCCTCCAATGTCAATGCTAGACTTACAAAGATTGATAGATTTAAATCGGCTGGATATGTCAAAACCTATTGATTTAGTTGCTATTTTGAATACAGGGGTTTTTAAGTTAAAACCTGATCAGCATCAATTTGGAGTTAACTTGACAGATGAAGGGGCTGATATTTTTAAAGCAAAAATCAACTTGGAAGTACAATGGGCGTCTGAGTTAGTTATAGCAGCCGTAGAAAAAGCTGGTGGGGTTATAACCACTGCTTATTATGATCAACATAGTTTGCAAGCTATGTTGAATACCAGAAAATTCTTTGAAAGGGGTAAGTAATCATTTGTTTTCATTTCCTAAATGTTGGTAAAACTGACAATTGCTTATATTTTGTGGATAATCCCAAAAATTTTTATTATTAAGATATTAGTTTTACTCAAAATTTGAGTGGATAAAGTTATCCAACATTTATTTGAAGTATTAAAATTGACTAAAATATAACAAAAACTTTCAAAGATGGTCTTAATTTTAAGACTAAAATTGACCCGACTTTATGTATGTTTTGTAGATTATCTAGAAAAAATAAAATTTGGACAATATTTACAGTCAATTACTTTATTTGTTTTTATTACCTAAATGTTGGTAAAATTGACACAATTGCTTAAAACAAGTTATAATAAATTATACACAGAAGAAAAACAAGTTTCATAAATCATTTTTTTATGAAACCAGTTTTTAATTTAAATTTTTTTTTTGCCAAATAGGTATTCCAATTCCAAGAAGAATGACGCCACCTGCAGATGCTATAGAATATTACACTGACCCGACAAAAAGAGGTTATTTAGCGGATCCAGAAAAAATATCAGAAGAGAGGCTAGTGTTGGCTCAAAAATACGGTTATACCCTTCCAAAAATCGAAGAAGACAAAACATACGAAATGCTGACGCAAAGAAAAGACCCTCGGCAAATATTTTTCGGTTTGAATCCTGGATGGGTTGTTAATTTAAGGAATAAGGTTATTTTGAAGCCTCAGGAAGAGAAATTGGTTGAATTTTATCAATCTTAGATTCGTTTTTATAGATAGTGTTATATTAAATAGAAATTAAAAGAAATAATTTGTATTTTTGTCCCTTATAGATTTACCTAGTACCTAGTTGAACAGGTCGTCTTAAAAACAAAAAAGTTTACATTATATTCCTTCTTGGTACTAATAAACAAATAACAGGAGATGTTGAGGGGTTAAGGCCTGCTTATTATGTTTAAAAAAATTTCAATATGATCAAGGCCATAACAAGGGTCTCAGCCAAGAGAATCTCTCATTTATATTTTATTAATGGATTATAGTTTTTTAATTATTAATTTCTATATTTTTTATCAGTGACTATTTGCACATTTGCAGTAATTTTAATTTAACTCATTTATTCACCATCCACATACATTTTGTTACATACATGTAAGTGCACTTTAGGTCATCCATATATTCCTTAAAAATCAATTACATTTTTTCACTTTTTCTTCCACACTTGTTACTTCTTTCATTTATATTTTATCTAAATCTCACTTGTCCATACCATTTAAATTAAATGATTTAATCCTAACATTTAAAAAAAACTCATCAAGGTATACTTCTTCAGAATATAAACATTTTTCATTGCTCAAACTTCATTTTATAGTTTAATTCCAACCATGAACCATATTGCTGTATTTCTTTAAATATTTCACCCAGACATTGTGGAAATCATTTATAAATCAGTAAATCTATTATAGATTTTGTATATTTGGCACTGACCAGCGTATTTTTGTGCTGGGATTCCAATTTTGTCCCTCCAGCTGGAGGGTCACAAAGTATAATATTTTTATACTCTTTCATTTAGCAGTGTGTACTCTCCAGTGGCGTAGCGTGGACTAATATAGACGTGGGCGAAGTCGCATCAGCGAGGCCCCTTTTCTTTCGTTCCCAAGATCTAACCAATAAATCTATCTTACCAAACATGCTTTTACACGACATACCTACTTATGATAGTGATATTATGCACGCCAGTGCTATTTTTCAAAATAAAAATTATTTTTTAAATCCTTATTCATTTTAGGGCAAATTTGATTTCTTGACCATTTTTCGTACGACTAAAGGTTTTCGATGAAAAAAATACAAAGCATTTAATGCGAAAACCGTTAGTCGTACGAAAAATGGTCAAGAAATAAAATTTGCCCTAAAATGAATGTGGATTTAAAAAATAATTTTTATTTTGAAAAATAGCAGTGGCGTGCATAATATTTTTCCAAAAATATCTAGACCACATCCTGTACGGACGCCACTGGTAAAAAAAAATAAAAAATCTTCTAAATCAAAAACTTACTGTTAATAATTAGAAGACGTGTGCCAAATTTTATAAAAATATCTAGGAAGTTATTAAAGTTATGATAAAAAACGATTTCTTTTCTTAAAACTTTAACACCCTGTAACTTAAAAATTAAGAGGTTTAGGTCATAGGTTTATTTGAACTTTTTTTCTTAAAATCAACTAAGGATTCACACCCTTAAGGTTCAGCATCTTATTCTGAAACACCCTGTATACAGTGTGTCGCGCTTTTCATAAATCCACCCTTATATCTCAGTTATTAATAATGCAATTTTCTTTAAATTTGGGTGGTGATTGTATGTTGGAGACACTTAATATTTTCCATAGTAAAATTTTTTATTTATCATTGGCGTACGGTGTTAGGGGGGTAAAAACTTTTTTAATCATATTCAGCAAATAAAATTTCTTTAAGATTTTAAGAATATGAATTAAGGGGTTTTTGGGGATGCTGAATCTATATAGGATTAAAAAATTTATCTAAAATAAGCCCTAATATCCTTTTGCCGAAAAATCGACCCCCCTAAAACCGTACGCCAATGATAAATAAAAAAACTTACTATGGCAAATATTTCATTTCTTCAGCTTACAATCACCACCCAAATCGCATTATTAATAACAGATTGGATTTAGAAAAGCGGGACAAATTATTAAACCAAACAAATGTGGCCCTTTTATTCGGCAAATGATGCACACACTATTCGATTAACTGTTTAATTCTACTTTACTTACATAACTAAACTTAAATAATAATTAAGGAACAATCATAGATGTTCTAAAATACATACAGCAAATTAAATGATAGTTATTTAAATCGCGAAAGGTGATATCTACATTACCTACAAGTTGTAGGCCACAACTTGGATTTGTTTAGAGTCCCAATAGGTGGCGTATTAAAGTGAAATCCATTGTAATCACTATTTCTGTGATTGTAATCGATTAAAATTGATTAATTATTAGTATATAAGGATCTTAAATGTACATATTTTTTAGGTTTTTATTTAATTTAAAAATAAACGGGGATTTGAAGTCTGATGGCATCGCATTTAAAGAGGCCTCGCGAGGCCCCTTTAAGTGCGAGGCCGTGGGCGAGGGCCCACTTCGCCTACGCCTAGCTACGCCACTGGTACTCTCAACAACAAACCTGAATGAAAGGCTGTCTTAAAACAAAAAAAAAAGGTGAAATGAAAGTCTTCTTTGTTAAAATATGAAAATTTATTTGGCATAAAATACTTTTTACAAAAAATATATGAAAACTATCAAATATAAACCTAATTTTGAGCGCGGCATGGCAAAAAACTTAAAGACTTGTCATTGCAGGCGGTCTAGCGTAAGCTTTGGGAATAAAGCCGTACTTTCGCGTTTTTTGGGGCGTACGCCCACAACCAACCGTCCACAGTCTGGTTATTTAAGTCGGCATAAATCCAATCACCTCTACGTACAGTTAAATCGTCCGGTGCCTGTGCTTTGTAGTCGTAAAGCATCACCAGCTCCGTACCGTGGTACCTTAGGTCATCAGCGCTGGAATTTGTTAAAGCATGAGGGTTCGTTTGATTCGGAAAGTTGGGGCCACAGTTTTGGGACGTGGGGTTCAAATGACCTAAAAAAGATGTTGTTTGTTTCATGCCAATTTTAATATTATTGTTTTTATTTAATATTGTCCTAAATTGGATTAAATTTTCTAACATTTGTATATTTATTTAAAATTGGGTACAAAATAACAAAACTACCGACTTTCAAAGTTTATGTTAATTAGGTAAGTATAAGAGAAATAAAATTGAAACTTCAGATCTCGAAAAATTAGTACTTGGACATATTAATTAAATACATATTCTTAAAGAGGATAAAACATTTAATATACAGCCATTCCACGTTACTCGGCAATTTTTGTAGCGTCCGTAATAATAAAAAATTGTGAGTAATAGGCTTACCCATATCTCAGTTATTAGACATGGGACCCACATCAAATTCGAATGAATTCATTATAAAATGACATTATATAGGCCAGTTCTGCGCAAGCAGAATTTAAATTGAAGTTTGCGAAAAAAAGTTGGTTTTTAAGTGTGCCCCCCCCAGCCTCCTGCCCCACCATATTAAGATAATTCAAATTAAAGTGGTACAATATTTAATTCACTGAAGTTTATCGACAAATTTCATTTTCAAGTATTACAGATTTTATACCATTTCAATTTTTTTTACATTTAGTAAAAGAAATAATAAAAATTGAAAATGGTATAAAACCTGTAATTCTGGAATTTTTTTAATAACATTTTAAATTTGTCAATAAACTTCAGTGAATTGTACCACTTTAATTTGAATTATCTTAATCTTAACTTATGAATATGAATTTGATGTGGGTCCCATGTCTATATTATAATAACTGAGATATGGGTGTGCCCAAAATCCTCCAGCCGCAACTGGTAAAAGCTACCGAAATTAAATAAATACTATTGCAGACATGTTTATTATGATTGTAATAATTAAGCTTAAGCTTATAAGCATAATAATTACAGTAAAAAACTTAAAATTTTTTATTATTACGGACGCTACAAAAATTGCCGAGTAACGTGGAATGGCTGTATAATTATTTTTAAAATTGGGTAAAAAATAAAGTTAATCTTAATATTAAGAGAACTTTATATTTTAATTTTGTATTTTAAAAATGTATATTCTACCTTGTATCACATTATCAGCAGGATATACAAATCCTGATGGTATAAATCCTTCCTGTCCATCACTCCTTACTATCCAATACCAATCAGGATCCTCCCTGTTTAAAACTGAAAAGAAACAATTTATAGGTTATGTAAATGTCAAATTTGACACCACAAACGTCATAAAATAGGTTATGTAACCATAATCTTTGACAGCTGTCAAAATTATTTGAGGTTATGTACCTGTAACAAACTCGCCCCTTTCGACGGAAACGTCGTTCTCGTCTCTGGCGATAAAAGTGTATAAAACTATGTAGCGCCCCGAAGGGTCTTTTGAAAATGGGGACATATCGGGTTCGGAGTGAATACTGATTGGAGAGGCCGCTCCGGTTCCGTGTTTTTTACCGAGGGAATCGCAATCGCTCGTATCCACACCTGCGGCATCACTAAAAATAATTAATTGAGAATTTTGTTGTTTATTTGGGTTATATATTTATTACCATTCGTGATTTGTATCGGAGCTGTCTCCAGAGGCCAAATGCGCCTCCCTGGGGAGTTTTTTCTTTATAGCCATTTCGGCTAAGTGATTATTGTATGGAGTGCAGTACGAGTAAGGTATAAAACCTTCCTGTCTTGTGTCTAAACCTATAACGTACACCCAGTCGTTCTCACGATACAAAATATTAACAATCTTAAAAAATGGTTATTAAACAATGATATAATATAGTTTTGAGTACAAAGTACCTGTCCTCTTTTAACTTCAAGTTCATCATCAACACAAGGCGTAAAATCGTGTAAAACCACCATTTTACTGTCAGGTGATAAGCCATGCTCCTTCTCAATTCCAACTCTAACGAGAGTTTCAATGCTGGCTGAGCCTGTAATACGACCCATTCCTGGGGTAACCCCATTGTTGGATCTGTTCAATTCTTTTTCAAGATCTACACTAGAGGCTAAAACAGATACTCTTGTTATGAAGACTTATTTGGTTTATTTTACAGTAATAAGCGCAAAAAATGAGTTGCAATTTTAATTGGCACAAATAACAGTACTCCCACCATTGTAAACAACAATTATTTCCGCGTTTATGCGGAATTATCTATAGATAATCCCCAATTTAATTTGGTGCACCTTCTATCGCACCAATTAAAAAAACATTAAACAAATTTATAACAATGAAATCAAACTCACCTTTTTTCTTTTTGCCTCGCCGTATACGCACTGGGCATAGAAATGCCATTTTATCTCAATGTTTACATTATTTTACGTGGATTTTCGCCGACTGTGTACATTGACCTCGTCGAGTTCATGTTTCCATCAAAAATTTTGTCGTTTGACTATTTCACTGGCCAGTAAATAAAAACAGTTAATGAAACGAAAGTTCCCAACAGGTGACTCGTTTTACCTGTTGGACGGCCGCTGGTTTAACCCACGGCGCCAAGTTCAAAAATACACCCATAAAACCGTAAGTTAAGCTAATTTAATTATTATAACATTCATATTATCCATGCATGCGGCCATATTGGACGTATTTTGTTTTATTAAACTTCATAATAGAACTGTCATAAACGAAAATCAAAGATATCTTCGATACAAACCTATTTAATTATTTTTAAAGTTATTTGGTAAAAAAATAATGCAAAAGAAGGTAAGGTTAGCTAATTTAACTATTTAAACATTAAAAAAACAGAAAACAATCATATTACCTATGCATGCGGCCATATTAAAAGTATTTTGTGTTATTTTAACGTGAAAAATGTTAATATGACAGTTCTCATTTGCAAAAACCAAAGATAACTCACGATTCTTGAGTCTCGAGACTAGAACTTTCTGTTTGACGCGTATTTTTATACGTCGGCACAGAACAAAATTTATTTAATAAATAAAATTTATTTTTTTATATTTCCACCTTTAAAGCCCATTATCGTACATGTTTCCATGACACCAAGTGACCTTTTAAATACACATTGAAAAGTTGTGGCTTTATGGCCTTTTAGTCACGGGCTGAAGTTAGTTGTGGAAGGTCATATAATCGTTAAAATAAAGTGCCCTTCTTGTAAAAATAATAATAAATGTAAAAATAATTTTATTATCTCAATACAAAAATACAAAAATTTTAAATAGTTTCTCAACGCCAATATTTGAAAAGTTTATATGAACATTGTACTGACCTTTTAATTTTGCCGACAGTAAACTGGATTTAACTTAATTTCGGGTAGAGACTCCACCGTGTAGTGCCAATAAAACATTCTCTTCACTTTCACTGTGGAAAACTACTTCTATATCGGATTAAACGGTCCATTTTCGAGGGATACATTTCGATTTTCACATCAAAATTTGACATTTGACATAATACAGATTCCCAAGTTGGTTACTCTATTGTTCTATAGATGTCGCTCTTCACAAATATTTAATTTATTATAATTTATTTCCTTTTTAGATAATAAGTATATGTCGAAGAAAAATCATTGAGGATGTGTTTTTAGGACCGTTTTGGTGCAAGGTCGAAGTTTGTGACGCCGCTGGTAAGGAAGCAGACGTAAAATTTACAGAAAAAAATAGTCGTGAAGATTATTTGTATTATTGCTAAAAACTTTCCCTTATTACTTATGCACTTTCGTTGGTAAACGAACAAACGAACCTATTAGCTATTTTTTTTATTGTTAATGACAATAGTTGGGCAAAAATAATTTTAAAAGTATACCTCTGTAGAAGTAGAAGAATGCTCATTAGGTACTTGTTTAAATTGGATAAGTATGTATGTAATTTGAATTAACAGTTTGTTTCGCAATTTTACAATAAAGGTATTACCTATGTTTTTTTCGTATTATATAATTATTTATACGTTTTTATCATCATTTATTTAAATAAATTATTTAATTTATGAATTTGTTTTAAACTTTAAACTAAATTTCTTAAAATTTAAATTCAAAAAACGTTTTTTGCGAAATAATTTTTAGGACAAATACACCGTTTTGGGTGCCTTTTTTCACGAAAAAACGTGATTGAATTATAAAATTCCGGTAGCATAAATTTTATGATAAATAGTTAAAGATTTCAAAATTTTGGGCATATTTTATTAGAAATGTGTATGAATCAGGCATAAAAAATGTACGAAGATATTTAAATTGTTTTACCTTTTGAAGATTAGAAATTAAACTTTTTGCCACCCATAACAAATTTGTAGGCTTTTCAAATATCCAATATATGTGCACCATGGTTATATTTATACGTTTTTATCATCATTTATTTACATAAATAAATAAAATAATGTATGAATTTGTTTTAAACTTTAAACTAAATTTCTTAAAATTTAAATTCAAAAAACGTTTTTTGCGAAATAATTTTTAGGACAAATACACCGTTTTAGGTGCGTTTTTTTCACGAAAAAACGTGATTGAATAATAAAATTCCGGTAGCATAAATTTTATGATAAATAGTTAAAGATTTCAAAATTTTGGGCATATTTTATTAGAAATGTGTATGAATCAGGCATAAAAAATGTATGAAGATATTTAAATTCTGTTTACCTTTTGGAGATTAGAAATTAAACTTTTTGCCACCCATAACAAATTTGTAGGCTTTTAAAAAATCTAATATATGTGGGTACTCCCATCAAAAATAGATAAATAATTTAAAAAAAATCATATTTACACATTTTTACACAAAGCCTAGTAAACATTTGTTGGCCAAAATTATTTGACATTCAACTCTAAATGATTGATTTAAACCGGGTTTAAAATCGCGTTGGGGAATATTTTGCAAAAAATAGTGTGTAAATGAAAAGTAACAGGTGCACCATGGTAGAACTTCTCAAAATAGATATATCTTAAAGAGATGGTTCTAAGGGAAAACCCAATGGTAGGTACATTTTTTTCTGAAGAAGTAGTACAAAATACTTCCATATTTTAAATGGGCTTACAAAAAAATAAAAAATAAAGGAAATAAAAATTAAAAAAATATTTTTTTGTCTATTTTTTTACATTGTTTAATATTCATTTAAAATACTTTTAAACAAAAAATAATCTTATGTTTTATTATTGGTTTATTTAAATTACCTTATTTTTTGAATAAAACAAATTATTAGAATTAATGGCATTTCCTTTAGTTAGAAAGGACAGCAAACAATATGGCGATTTTAGGATGCTTTTACTTATTGGTTTATATCCAATGGTTATATAACCAATATAAATTAACCTGCAAGTTTATTTAAACCATTTGGTTACTTTATTGTATGTGTTTAATTTAATTTAACTACTTTATTTACCTATAGGTAATTTATAACTCTTTGGTTTGTTTAAATTTGGTTATTAACTGCAAAACCATCACTTTTTAACCAGTTTATAAATAAACTTTAATTTACCACCGATCGGTGGTAAATTTAAGTTTATTTATAAACTGGTTAAAAACTCGAGTTAAAATATAACTTGTTGTTTAAAAAAATATATCCTAATTAACCAAAGCTGTGGTTAATTTACCAAAAAGTTATATCAAAATATGTCTAAAAAATAACTAGGTAGTTAGTTAGTTAATATAACGTTAGGTAACTTCTAAAATATCCTACTTTTTAATTTATCTATAGGAAAACTTAGGTTATTTTAAGAGTTTAGATTGACTATTATTTATAATAAATAAACCAAATATTTAACTAGTTAACTAGTTAACTAGTAATATTACCAAGAAGTTTCTTTTATTAGTTAAATAATACTAAAAAATAACATTTAAATTTACTTCATGGTTATAGCAACCAGTAGGTAAATTTAAAGGGTTATTTTTTAGTTTATAGTAACGCTAAAAAATGTTAATGGTTGAATACAACTAATGTGTTAAAAAACAAGTTTAAAACAACGTTATTTTACTTAGATTTTAGTTAATTTACTTAGAATGCTACTTGGGTATGTGTATATAACATTTTTTGAATTATTTTTACAAGTTTTACCACCTGGTATATTTTTAGAATGTGTTGGGCCACCAAATTTGCACTAAGCTTTGTGCATAGGATATATTCTTTCAAGTCATCTTACTTTTATTTTTAAATGGTATTTCCGATGTAAAGCGAAAGTAAATTTATTTAATTTCATTAACAACATTCTCATGATTTAATTGTTTAATCCTACTTATATTATAAACATTATTTGTTTAATAATAATTGTTGAGGATGGGACGGAAATGTCTAAATTACTGTTTATTATGTTTTTAATGAATATTTATGACATATCTATTTATTTTTTATTATATACATTATTATTAGTTTATTGGCTTCTTTAATTGGTTCTTGATGCTTTTTAGTTTATAAGTCGATTAAAACATATTAATAATTTCCTACAAAATCAATTAATAATAATTTTCAGTTTTTTTAAAACGATTTTTGTTGCTTATTTTATTAGTTTGACATTTATGCATTATAACAGAGTTTAAAGTGCAATACTTTCTAATCTCTACTAATAATAAATACCAAAAAATATTAAAAAATCGTGTCTTCGAATTTTTCGCGTGGGTTGGCACTAAAAAAATCATTAATTCTCATTTGTATTGTATTGGGCAATCTAAATGGTACTCGCACAATTTTTATAAAAATTTCCATGAAAAAAAATTATATTTAGTAAAAACTTTTAATAATTTTTTTCAAATTTTGCTGTTTTTTACAGATACTTACCTTGTAAGTTTAAATGTCACTATTATGATATTAACGTCTTCATAAACCACTTAATAAGTGTCATCATTATGTAGTAAAATGTCCCACTGCTCCCCCCCCAAAAACGCAAGAAGTAGGTTGGCGCTCCACAGCACACTACGCTTTGGACAATTTTGTCTAGTGATAGTGACAGTGAACGGTGCGATCTTCATTTATTTTTTGCGATCGTAGCTCTTCCGATGAAAGGAAATGAAACAAAACACTTACGGACCGGCACGTGACCAATCACAGTGAACTACATAAAGTACATAAAAAAATATATAGATAGTGAATGTGTTGTGTTTATTTATAGCAACAATATTAAAAGGAAAAATGAATTGTTTTAGTGTAAGTGTATAATTAGTATTGTTTTAATGCAAATATTATAAAATTCCCACATACTAACACCTAATAATATATTCGCTATGAAATGTATCCTACGTATCCTAATTTTTGCTTAGAAGTTAAACCCATAAATTATCGAAAAGAAAGTGGTTTATGGCTAGAAATTAAATTTGTAGTCTGAGAGGAACCTTTTAAAGTTTTTGTTATGCATACAAAACATGTATAATTTGAATAAAACCAAATACAGTTCAGCTATAGACTAATCGCTGAATGGCGTTCTCGGGTTATATTTTTTTAAATTTTAATTTAACACATTTTAACACTTTTTGCTTGTGGTTTCTAATCGTCTTTTGACAAAAAAAACAGAAAATGTTCTGTTATTTTCTTTACAATATGCATCTTTGTTTTTTTGCATTTTCTAAAACAATTATTTAATTAATTTGCTATAAATCTGACATGTAATTGTTATTTAGATCATACCATAAATAATGCATGCAATATATAACAAACAATTCAAAGGATTAGCAAAAACAAACAATAAATCTAGGAAAATCTACATGAACAAGCAGTATAAAATAGGATGCCTCAAGGGATAGTATTGGGACCATTAATGCGTAATACAGGTACTAAACGACTCGCTACCGGCAAACACCATAAACTACTTAGACAAGAATCTATTGTTTTATAAAATAAAGAATTATGGATGAAAATGATATAATGACATACTAATATAAAGAAAATATAGTCCTGAATAATTTTACAAATTAAAAATAAAATTAATAGGCAAACTTGGCAAAAAATTTGGTACATGAACTTTATCTTTAATAGCAGGTTTCACAAGATTTTTTGTTAACATTTAATTATTAACAAATTTAATTGCATATATTTTATAAATATTTATTAAAGAAAGTACCAGTACTTATTAATTGTTTATTTTTAAGTGTAGTTATGGGATAATAATTTTTTCTTCCAAATTAATTTTTTTTATAATATTTAAAAAAATGTTATTTTTGTGAATATTTCGAACCCCCGGCGGTTAATTGTTTTTCTGTTTTCATCATTAAAAACAGAAGAAAAAAAACTTTGTAGCTCCAATAATAATGGAGTGGAATGAAAAAAATTAAAAGTTAGAACCCCACTTAAATGTTTAAAGCAGTATATTAATTAAAACAATGAATTGTAATGAACGTCCTCGAATAGAACAACTAGGATTTTTGCATATGTATAGGAGATCTAGATTAAATAGGATATATCATTTTTTATGGGTGTATTAGAATGTGGTAGTAGATATTATGAATCCTTGAATAATTTTTTTCGTTTACTATAAATATATAGTGGGTGTTTTGTAATAGTAATAATAAAAATTTATTTTTCGAATCAAGAACCAAATTAACGATATAATTAGAAATTCTATAATATATATATAATAGATTTACAAGCTTATAAAAAAGCAATTATTATATTGATTATTCAAAGTGAAAGTCATTTTCGTGTTTACCTTTAACTAACTTAAAATTAATTAATAACACAGCCCTACAAAATAAAAAAATTGTGTGTTCTAAAAAACGAAACATACTTATTAATTTATTTTTGCCGTCTTGAACACGAATATAAAGTTACCAGATCAAACTTCTTATAAACTGTTATAATCTATATGTATTTGTACATATAAAAGAATTCCGTAAGACTGACAGGCATATATAGATATAATACTAATAATAATAGTACTATAATAATACTAATAATAATAGTAGGGGAAGGTGGGGGAATTTTGCGCGGTGGGTAATTTTACGCATAAACAATTCTTCCAGATATGAAGTAAATAATACATTTTTTGAATGTTGCAAACTTGGAAACGTTGCTTTGGGTATACGGGGACTAAAGTGTACCGAAATTAAGCTTGTAGCTTTTAGCTAGTGACCATGGTCACTAGCTAACTGTGATACATGTACGTTGATCTAAGAAATGTCGTTTCCGCTTCCGTTTGTTTATAACACAACTTTATATGATCTTTCCTCGTAATCTGGTGTATGTTTAAATTGTTCAGGTTAACTTTTGGAAAGTTTTTTAGTATCACAATATTTTTCTTGCAATGGGGGTAATTTTACGCTGAAAAATTGGGGTAATTTTGCGCTGCAAAATATGGCCAATATGGGAGCTTTGGTATACAGGAGCCTAGATTGTTTAGCATAAACAGTTCCATTTGGGCACACGCGGAGTGTAGCGAAAAAAAACCCCCTAATTTTACGCTGAAAAATTGGGGTAATTTTGCGCTGCAAAATATGGCCAATATGGGAGCTTTGGTATACAGGAGCCTAGATTGTTTAGCATAAACAGTTCCATTTGGGCACACGCGGAGTGTAGCGAAAAAAAAACCCTAAAACTACATATGTGACAAATGCTGCATGTAGACCCTCTTATTTCTAAGAACAAAAATTTTATTTTTAGTTATTTATTTTTGATTTTGTTTGTTTTGTTTGTTTCATAGAGAAAATAGTTTTGTTTTATTTTTATGTTTTAATATAATAATATTATAGAAATAAACGGTTTATTTAGATACCTACAAATCTTTCTCTATACAGCGCAAATTTTCCCACTATGATGCGCAAAATTACCCTGATAGGTGGGTAATTTTGCGCAAATGCATTATTTAAAAAAATGTAGTTTTTGCATACCAAACATTTTTTTTTATAAATTGCGCATTATATACACATAGTAAACATAGTAGACTATCGCTGGTATTAATTGCAAAATTTCACATTTAAACTTAACAAAGATACTAGAGATTTTGCTTAGATGCGCAGAATTCCCCCACCTTTCCCTACTACTTCTATGCTGACAGGCAATGCACAGACCAAACCGCTGATTTAAAGGGCTGAAATTTTGACAGAAAATTTCTATTATGACATAAATAACCGATAAGTATAATTTTTTTTTAATTTCAAGAAATTTTGACACTATAGGTAAATATGGGTAAATTTTAACCCTAATAAGTTTGTGTCAAAAATAGTATTCTCTAAAACAGATCAACGCGTTGCAACGGATCGACGTGATTTTTTTTAACTTTTATTAATATAATTTTAATGGGTAAATTAATTCAATTATAGTTATAGTGCATTTATTTTTAAGTAAATACAAATTTATTAATTGAAAAAGGGAGTTTTCGTTTTCAGGCTACTAAAATATGTTTTTCCTATAATACAATAAATACTTATATGGTGTGTTTCATAGCACAGAAAACTTTTTTATTTTATGGGCCTGTGTAATTATAAAATATAGGTTAAAAATATGAAAAAAAATTCATTAAAAAACAACATGCAATACGGCCTTGAAAACTTGATGGTAAGAATAATTGCTGCAAGAAGAATTGCCGGCTGTAATACGGCCTTTATAATATTTTAAAAAAATCTGAACTACGTTTGACAGTACAATGATTTTAAATAAAGACAACGTTATTATATTATAATTATAATATAATAATTATTATTATAAGTGGGTGCAAATGGGAGAAATTTGTCAATTTACCATTCCACAGAAGTACCTACTAAGTACCGTAAAACATGTTTTACATAGATAAACATTTAAGTAATTACTTTATTAATAGCTTTCATATATTTTTTTAATTTAAAATGTTAAGACAATTATTGCTAGTCCCAATAGTTTTATCTTTTATCTTTTTTCCTATTGGTCGGACAAAAAAGTTTATGATAAAAAATGTCGATTTTGCAATTTTTAACACATTTGTTAATAGGAAAAACTTTCTATATTTACTTCCTAAAAAAATTTTGACAGGTCAAAATCTATATTATTTTAATGAATATATTTCTTTATGTCATAAGGCTGAGAAGTGAGTCTTTTTGTGCTGAGCTCAACGTTTGAATGCAGACGTGAAGCACAAAGACACTTTTCAGCCGAATCGCATACAACATTTTATCTTCAGGGCACAGTTTTATTTGTTAAACAATACATAATATATTATACAGTACAAGTCCAAAACTTTTATTTTGACATATCATAATTAACTTAAAATTTTAAAATGCATTTTTGTGAGAAAAAATGTAATTATTATATTTTATGAAATACCTAGTTAAAATATTCTAAAAAAATGCATTTTGAATTATAAAACTGATTTTATGAAATAATTTGTAAAATTTTTAAATTTTGGACTTTTACTATTATTATTTAAAGAAAAAGTGAGATTAGATAGCTTTAGAACTGTCAGTAGTTTTTTACACTCTGGGATGCAAAAAACTTCACCTGATTGGTCTAAGTTATTTTTACAGCATAGGAGATAATAGAATACTATGGTAGTGTCAATAAAGCTTATGTACATTATAGAATGCTTAAATGCTTAATCTGTTAAAACCGTTCCTAAATAAATAAATATGCGGTCTTTTATTGTTAATAATATCTTTTATAATTAAATTATGCATGAAACTGTTCACATCTTGGTTCACACTTTCCAGCATTTCCAACGATCTGATTACGCGTCCACTCTCTTTCATTGTCGAAGGTATATACTATAATTATTTTAATTTTTTGTCCTTGAAGTTATTTTGGACTTATTTCAGTACCTAATATAAAAATTAAATTGTATAAACCACAAAATTATACTTCATAATACTTTGACTAATTAAAAATCTTACCTTCAACATATTTCAATGATATTTTTTGTGCTCTAAATAACCGGATGCAGAACTTATTAGTAATAAATATTTAGATCAACTACATGCATAATTCAATAAACTATGATTAATAGTATTCATCCCATATTGAGCTAGCCTAGACCTTTTCCATTATTAACAACACTATAGTGTTAACCTATTATAGTGCTAACAATAAATTTTTACTTTAATAGAATAGAATCACGAATGATGATGATATTCCTCTTAATTTAGGTATTGACATTATTGTCGTGCTGCGTGGTCAAATGTATGGCGACGTGCTCGCACCTCTACGGACACGAACCTTGCAAAACTTTTGTACCCGCGCCCCCCGGACAGACGCCGCCCTGTGCCAGGCCCGGACAGACTTTTTGCGAGTTTCCCGATCAGTATCCAGGGTAAGAAATAATAACCGTTAATAACTGTCCATAACCCATTAATATCGTTAAAAAATTCCTATTATGTGTCATTTAAATCATATCTGCATAATGCATCTAATAAACTATGCGAAAATCTACAAAAACAGTCAGAATGAATTATGGTACCCCAAGGCTCTGCATTGGGACCGTTAATGGGTAATTCCAATACTAAACGACTTGCTACTGGAGTTTTGAATGTTTTTATGTGATTGTGCCACATGTGGCACGCCTAATACAGGGTGTCTGTTTTTCGAGACTAAGCAAGTATCTCGCTTATCTTTAGAGATACATACACTGCGCGTCAAAATTAACGCATAATAAGTAAAAAAATTCTAACTCTAAAACGCCTTTACCAATCTTTATGAAATTTTGTATAAAAATACTTCAACTTATACGTCAGTTTACATGTTCGAGGGTTTTTCGAGAAAATATTTTTAAAGCCCTTTTATTTAATAATAAAAAAAGTTCGAAAAATAACTTTTAGGGAATTTTTTTTAACATAATAAAAAATATGCTGTTAAAGACCGTAACTGAATTTTGTACAAATCAAACGAACAGTAACGAAGATACATCGCTTCAAAGTCGGTTAAATTACCCTTTTTGATTATTTTGCTGAAAAGTGGTCATTTTTGACGACTTTGAAGCGCTGTATTTTTGTTACTGTTTGTTTGATTTGTACAAAATTTTCAGGGTATACTAACAATAATACGGACACAGCAGATTTTTTATTTACTTAAAAAAATTTCCCTATAATAGTATATTAAAGAACTAATGTCATAAGACGTCATTTTGTCGCACGCGGACAATTTATAAAACGAGCGACGAAGGAGCGAGTTTTATAATGGACAAGTGCGACAAAAGGTCTTATGACATGACCCAACTAGCATTTATGGTGGCAGATACGTAACTGCCACTATCAAAGCCACTACAAAGGGGGCGGTGACCATCGGCGGCTACGTTGTATATTCGTAGCTGCTAAGTAACTGCGACCAAAATGGGGAAAGATTTTGAGTAGCCGGGTAGTGTCTTGGGTAGTTTTTGCCACTAAAAGAGTTACTACGATATGGCACTATAAAGTAGCCTACCGTTGAATGCGACTTATCTGTTACGAAGCTGCCTAGTCGCGGGTTCGTGGCAGCCTAGTGTTTTGCCACCGACATGTAGAACTTTCATTAAACTGTTAAACTTTATTCGCAGCGACCTCTTCAGTTTCACACTTCATAAAAATAAATGTCATGATGGAAAGTAATTATGGAAGCCATTATTATTTTTTTGTTATTTACCATGCGATTTTAACGCCTTTTGTGGGTCAATTCCAAAACGCAATCGACTTTACTGAATAAAATAGTGGGTTTATATGACAAAATTTTCGAGCGCCTTTCAAAACATTTCAAATTATTAAATTATTTGCAATAGAAACTCATGTAGTAATTAAAAAAAAATTAATTTGCTTAAAACTGGCGTGAAACTTTAAAATATTAGTCCACCGTCACAAATAACAAAATATCTAAGGAAAAAATCTTTAGTTTAGGTATATTTAGCTTAAAAACGCAAAATGTTTGAGCCATTTGGCTGTTCGTCTGAAAAGTCATGAAAAAAATATGGCCGTTTAATCCGAAAAATACTTTATAGTTCCATATGCTTCCACAAAGTACCGGGAACAATAATATATTAGGCCAACCCTACCCGTTTGGAACTTTAAAATCTTCGGATTGATAAAGTGACAATTGCAACTACCCAGAGACGACTTTATGGAAACAATAACTTTTTGGGAACTACATGGTCCACGATTCTTTGGAACATAAAGTGATTTTTTCCAAGAAAGTTCCCTGCGCCACTAAATTGCCACTTAATTGCAGCGTTTATGCTACACCGATCGCGGCGTGCCACTATAACGTTCCGCCTTGTCCTTTGAAGTTCCCGTTTGGCGACGCGAGAATCATATTTTTTGTAAAATGCAAATTGAATATTATCAAACCTAATGTTTTACTGGTTATTGCAATTCTTATGATCACATGACAATTATTCATTTATTTTCAAAAAAATTAATTATTATAAAAAAACAGGACCCACACCGTTTATGACGTCACTTCCGTCTCGTGTCGTTTTTTCTAGGTTTATTAATTACTCTCTTAAATCTTGAAACGTTCTCTTCCACTTAATCTTCGAATCCACGACTTAAGTAGAGAGCATACAATATTCATTTTTACATAGCCCAAATAACTACAAGTAAGGCAGAATGAATAACATTCATCAGCCCAAGATTTGAACGCTTGACTCAGGTGTAGAAATCAGAACATACATCAACTTTGACTGCAAATACTTCAGGGAAGTATTGATAAACTTGACCCATTAAAAATATTTAGCACCTTGAATTTCTTATATTAAATTCCTATTCATTACAAAATATTTAAAGACTATTAAGGTGAAAACGTTCACGTAAGATAGAATTAATAATATTCATCAGCACCTCGATCAGAACGAGATTTGAACACTTGACTCAGGTATAGAAGTCAGAACATGCATCAACTTTGAATGTGAATAGGTACTTCAAACTGTTTGAATCAAACAGCTTTAAAAATGTCACTACCTGATTTATGATGTTCATCAGTACGATTATAGAAAGATGTAGTTTTTGTTTCTGATGTTGATGCTTCGGCTCCCAGTGATTCCTTTTGTTTAATTCTTTGATAGAAAGTACTAGAATATCTAAATTTCTTTTTATTTACCTTAAGCATTTTACAGAATTTTAATAAAGCTTAAAAGCAAGAAAAGAAAACACCAAAACAGAGCAGCACACTATAGTGCGTAACATATATGCATATATGCAATCTGAGGCAATTACATTTATTAGGGTATATTAAGTTATGGTCACTATTAAGTAGCCATTTTTGATCCCCGCGACTTTTTAGTGGCAAAGGATAAGCGACGGCTACTTTATAGTGACCTAGGAAGGTCGCAGTAACCATTTTGTTACTTTCAATGCTACTATAAATTAGAGGTAACCAGGTGTCGTGGCCGCGACTACCCCGTAACTTAAATTGTTACTATAAAGTAACAAAAACTTAATGGAGGCATTATGGTAGCACTTGTTGGTGACCGCTACTTTAAAAAGTTACTATAAAGTTTTTGGTCTTTTATGGTGTCATATTCGAAGATTCAGGTAGTTCCAGCCACTTCTTTAAATTACATGTTTGCCACTTGCAATCGGTGTGTTTATTTTCCACTTTTATGGTAGGTAGGCACTAACCAGTCACTCTCGAAATATACTTCAAAGTGACTATTCCTTATAGAGTAACATTTTAAGTGGCAGGGTGGGTCTAGGAACTATACTTTAGGGGCAGTAACATTTAAAAAGGACTGGGAACTATATTTGCTAATTGGGGAGTTCTTTATGCTATTTTATCTATTTTGCAAACATTTCATAAAACAAATTAATTTTATACCTTATATTTAATTTGGTTAAATTTTACTTTACATAGTTGGTATCATAGATAACAAAGTTTGAAGTTTGAAAGGTCATTAACCTTTCAAACATTATCACATTCTTTCGCTATGGCGTCGTTAATTTACAATAAGTATTTACAATAAGCGGCTGTTAAAGAAGAAAAAAGGATTTTCTTTGGTGTTAAACAAAATTTATTACACGAAAAGTCTCGTAAGTACTAGAAAACAAATCATAAAAATATTATAACCTATAGGTATTCAAAATTGTATGTTACCAGTAGCCAACCTATAAAATCAAAATTTTGGGTGGAATAAAGTACCTCATTAAAGAACCAAAAGCGGTGTTATAATGAAGTCATTATGAAACCAAAATAGATAAAAGTTTTTTTCGAGCGTTGTTTATTATTAAATAAAAGGGCTTTAAGGATATTTTCTCGAAAAACCCTTGAACACGTAAACTGAGATATAAGTTAAAGTATCCAAAATTTTATAAAGATTGGTAAAGGAGTTGGATTTTTTTAACTTGTTATGCGTTATTTTTTGTAGTTGGTTAAATTAAGAAAAAGTTGCACATTTTCATGCCCTAAAATGATCTGAAAAGAAATTTGAATTATCATTTTTAGTTTTATTTTTAGACATCGGAAAAAAACAGAATTTTTAATTTTTACAGTTGAAGGTACCGTAAACACGGGTGGCTTTGCACCCTGTGGGTGACTTTAACCAGAGATAAAGAAGGTGACTTTAACCTTTTTATGAAAAATATTTTCGCGCTCGATAAAATTAACATTTATAATTTGTTGGTCTTAACCTGTCAATTGAGCGATTCTATTGAGTTTATATTACAGGAAAATCAGTGTTTTAAAGAAATAAATGGGATTTATTACACTTTAAAATTGTTTATATTGCATCAGTGTAGAACTCTTACACGCGCTACAATTTCTTTATTAGGCGCAATCCTTTGGAATGATGATCCTTGGTTAACTACAGGTCCATTTTTATTTTTTTTTATCGGTAATCGCTAATATTGAGTTAATTTCATACGGAAAATAAACTGCGAGACAAAGTAACCCGCAACCGGGGGGTAACTTTTCACACCCAGTTTTTAATTTTTATTTTTGAAACTTAGTCCTTCGTAATATTATAATATAGTTATTATGAAAGAGCAAGTCAAGACTCAAATTTTGGTATGCAATATTTAATGTTTATTATTGTTAAAACCACAAACATTTTAAGCTTAAGTTTAAAAGTTTACGGTAGACTTTTTTAATTTAGACGTTATTGAGGTACATAATTAAGGAAAATTTAAATTTGCCAAAATCTTTTTGCTAGCTTTTAAAATTGCCGGGATAAGATAAACGAAATACCCATGCTTAGCCTCGAAAAACGGACAACCTATATATAATACGATATTTTTTAGCCAATTAATAAATTACCTAATCCAAAAATGGCGATTCGATCACAACACAATTTTGAGCGACGAATCAAAGGAAGAATTTTCATCGTATTTTTTACCGCCAAATCCGAAACCTGAATACGGACCTCCGGGGTTCCAAAGTTTCGGGCCAAAAGGGAATGATTACCTTCCTGAGCCGATCTACATTCCAAAACCGCAGCAACCACTAAAGTACGTACAAACCTAAGTATATATCTAGGAACACACATTACACTGGCATCTAAAAACACAAGACACATTTTCGGTCTGACCTCGGCACGGTTTTAGTGCCACCGCAAAAAAAGTTTTTCACAATTTTAGCGCCGGGTTTTTCCCAGAAAGAAATAACCTGGTCTACCAGGAACAGGTGAGGAATGGGCAGTTTTACACCTACAAATACCCACAGAATTTTCCGCAAGTTAACAGGCCAACCTACAACAGTTATTACTATGACGTTCCTCATCAAGGGCAGGGGCAGTACAATAATAGACTTTGGAAAAGGTATGTATAAAGTCTCTGGATAAACAAAAATCTGGCAACTTGATTTTAGAAGGACCGATACAAGGCAAAAACGTTCACTTAAATTCAAAAGATCGCGGCAAATTGTCGACCACAAATTCAACATTTTATCATCGAATGCGACTTTAAACCACGAAAGACAGAAAAGACAGGCAACAATAAATGCAGAGCCCCTTTGTAGTTCCACATCGAGGTTTATAATGCCGAGGGCGGCCTTGAACAACAAGGGCAACTGGATGTATGTCGTGAATATGCCAGAGGTGGATGGCAAATACACGCAGTTGGTCAAGAGTGAGACCTGTCTGTAAGTACCTGTGTCTTTTTTATACGGGTACAAGTAAAACTGTACTTTTATCTTCTAGATCCCAAACATGCAGTTCCTTGTGCGGGCTTCCGCAAGGATATTCTTCGCGGTGCGAGCAAAAGTACGTCCAAAAAAGGTTGGTAGCATTGGAGGGTACAGGCGATAAACTTTACAACGACGTTTTCTGGTTCCCTAGTTGTTGTGTATGTACTCTTTCAAATAGTTAATTTATTTGCTACATTTAAATTAAATAAAATACAGTGGTTAACATAAACTTCCCATGATTTTAATGAATTATTATTGTAACGTCATACGTATCACTTCAATGATGTGTTTTCCGACTGCTAGGGGGCGATGATGGACAATAGAAGGCTTAGATTTTGTGACGTCACGACTAAGAATTATTTTTCTTAGTCATGGACTATTTTGTGACTGTTATACGCCCATTTTTGTACAGTAATTTTGTGTGATTTTTTTTTACCAGCCATAGCATACTTATAAGAGGTTTTTGTGATTTGTATTTTTATAAAATAAATAATTAGAATTATTAGTGTTTAAATTTAATTAAAAACGCAAGTCTAGAAAAGAAAAACAACAAAAAAACCTAGAAAATAAAAAATTATAAAAAGAAAATAAATCAAAATATTGTTCATTTGATCTTATAGTGTATTTTACATGTAATTGGATTAATAAATACATTTTTTATTTATTTTTAAATCAATACGTTTGGTTTACCAAAAACATTATTTCAGGGCATAGGAAATTTTAAAAACGCAGGAAACATAAAATTACGAAAAATCTCCAAAAACATCATTTAAGGACGTAGGAAATAAAAATTTAAAGGGAAGATAATTGAAATCATTTTATATACTTTTTCCGTAGCTTTTTGCCGACGAAAATTTATTGAAATATACGTAACTCTATATACATCAAGACATTAAATACATATAAGTATACCTATAACTTAGCGTTTTAACGACACAATAAATGCTATCTTGCTATAACATTAAATATATAATATTGGGATCATATTTTATTAAAATGGTTTATAAAACCAAACACTGTTGTTCAGACGTACATCACAAACTAATTGAGGAACATAATCATCTCGTTTTGCCCCCTCTCGTAAATTGCACGCGGTCAAAAATTTGATAATCAAATCACATTGCTATAGAGATCTAAAATTTTCGGAAAAATTGAAAAAATTGACAATTTGGGATCTTTTTTTATAACCTAGAAAAAAGTTTTTATTTATCATTATTACAAATTATTTTGATGATAAATGGATTTACGACATGTAACAACGAAATATTCCACAACGAATTATTCCCGTTGTTAGGCAGGGCAGTTATAATGGTTACCATTGAATACGAAAAAAACCCAAATAATCTCAATAGAAAAATATATTTATATGGGGTCTTAAAATCTCGCTTTCTGAATTTAACATGAAAGAAAAATGACGTCATCAAAAGAATTTGACCATGCTCATGTAATATATGGGCAATATATAATTTTTTTTTCAATTTTTTCAATGGTCCAGAAAAATACATGTTTTTTTCAATTTTTCCGAACCTTAAAATCTCCAGACGCATCCATACAAAAAATAACATAAAAAATAAATTAATAAACACTGTGGCCCTAAATTACCCCCAAGTTTTTTAATCCATGTAAATTTACATTCTAAAGAATAAAGTAAAATAGTTATTGCCTTATTTTCTGGGTATTTTGTGAGAGTGTTAACACAAAAATGCGTTTATTTTTATATTTTAATATAGTTTATAAGAAGGTTATTTAGACCCACCCTGTATAGCTAAAAAATTATAAAGAAAATATAAAGTTACAGGATAGCTTACCTCTTGGACACCCTGTAATAATAATAAACTAAATGGAATTGTTTTGCTTTTAAAAATTCATAAACAATTTGTTAAAAAAAAATTCAGTCGATTTTACCCTGTAATCATTTAAATTGACTTTTAATTAAACTTAAAACAATGTGTGTGATATGCTGATTGCTAATTTTCTTTGCGATAACTTTATGAACGTTTAAAAGCATTAATAATGATTAAATGCATGGTAATTTTGTAAAATAAGTACAAAATAAATACTAAATATTATTTGAGAACAACACTTTTTTCAGGTTCATTTTTTTAATGTGCTTAATGTAAATCAGACTAGTATAGTAAAACTGGGAAGCACATAAATTATTAAAACAATATTTTTATGACTAGAAAATAAAAATATACAATATATACGGTGTTTTTAAACATCTAGATAAACAGTAAATATCATGCTTGATTTTAAAGAGTGTCCCAACTATCTTTTATTCAAAATTCAAGTTTCATTTAATGTTGATGACAATTTTGTATTTATTGGGAAACCCTTTGTACGCCAAAAACTTTTGGACCCGCTTTCATACTTTTATTATTATGTATAAATAATAAATAATTATTTAGCCCAGCTGCTGCAAAATTCAGTCCAAATAAATATATTCTTAGGTTCCACAACCTATTTTTCAAGGCAACCGGGCTGGCAAAACTAAAATAAAAGGAATATAATTACGGGGTGCCGGCCAAGATGTTTCGATTTTCCAGAGATTCCTTCAGCATGTGGAACAGCTGCAGCTGCTGCTCGGGCTTCAGGTACAAAACTTGCGACAGCAGTTTTTGCGGGCTGTCGGTTTGGATGAAGCTGCTGATGTAGACGTTGACGAACGTTGCCATCAAGAATTGACAGTCGAAACGGTCCATGATGCCTCCGTGACCCGGAATAACGTCACCAAAGTCCTGAAAATACAAAGAGAATGTTTTGTGAAGCCCTCTGGCGGATAAACGAGTCAACTTTGGAACTGCTTCAACTATTGTAAAATGTTCTGAAGTTCTTAAATTATTTAAATTCAGCTGAACACCCGCGGCTTCGTCAAAAAACAAGTCAAAAATAAATTAAAAAAGGTTGAAATAAGTAAAAGAAATTAAGAAAGTAAACAAATCAGAAAAAAGCCAAAACAACGCCCTCGGTGGTGTATAAGGTTTTAAAATTTCCGCAAAAATTGGGAAATTTTTAGAAAAATTGAATTTTCCATTTTTTTCAAAGGGTAATGCGAAAAAAGATGCAAAAGTTATTTTTCTGAAAATTTACAAATTTTTACGGATAATATCCGTACACTGATATAAATAAATAAATACACACTTCAATTTATAAAATTATGATTTTGTAATTTAACTTTAATTCATTATTTTGTTATTGTATATTTTCAATGGACTCCTTTTTGCAAAAAAGACCCAACCGCAGTATATTCACGTTTACTTTTAATTTCTTAAATTAATTTAATTCAATTTTGTTTTATCTTTTTTTTTGTAATAAGGCATATTTTTTTGAATTAAAATAATGTTAAGATATTGATTTCTACTTTTTTTTAAATATGTATAAGTATTTTCAAAAATTTCCAAGGCCTGGGGATAAAAACGGAAATCAGTTTTTTCCCCAATTTTTCCGTTTTTTTTTCGTCACTACAAGCCGAGAGGTCGTGGGTTCGAATCCCACCCCCTTGGTATGCATCTTTATTTGTGTTTTTCCGACTGTGTATTCCTGTAATTGTCCCGTGCCTGTTGGAAGCACATTAAATAAAAGTCAAAATAGTTTGTCAAAAGGGTAAAAAAAAATCAGACAGTCAAAATAGTCTGTCAAAAGGGTAAAAAAATTTAAATTGGTAAAAAAAATCATACAAGTCAAAATAATCTGTCAAAAAGGTAAAACAAGTCAAAAGGGTAAAAAAGAAAAAAGATCAGAAAAAAGTAACAAAAGTCAGAATATTCTTAGTCAATGTTAAAAATTATGTCAAAAAAGTCGAAATAATGTCAAAAAATCTGAAAAAGTTATAAAAAACTAAAAACTCATAAAGGAGTAAAGAAAAAAGTAAAAAAATATAAGAAGTAACAGAAAAGTAAAAAAAGTAAAAAAAATCATGAAAGCTTAAAAAGTAAAAAAGGAAAAAACTCAAGAGTAAAAGAAAACAAAAAAGTCAGTCAAAGTCGAAAAATTAAGTCAGATATTCAAAGTCAGCGTAAAAAAGTCGAAAAAAGTAAAATAAGTCAAAAAGTTACAAAATTAGACAAAAGCAAACAAAGTTAGTATAGGTAGTCTAAGTAAAAAAGTCATTAAAGCAATACAGAAGTCATGCATCCAAAACATCTTAAATAGTAAAAAGGATTAAAAAGACAAAAAAAGTCTGAAAAATTAAAAAAATAAAAAGAAGTCGAATAATTTTGAGCACTTATTTCGTTGCATACGTTTAAAAAATTCTTACCTTAATTTTGAATGCCCTCTTGAACCCGGAGGCAAAGAACCCGCCAAAAGGCCCGATCACGCTGCTAAAAATAGACAGCGATAAGGAGTGAAGCATAAACGGATAAATGGAAATCGTCTCCGGCATTCCAAGCTGAAAAAAAAACAATAAATTAGACCAAAGAGATACAAATCGAAAAAATCAGTACCAGTGACAAAAATCCGGGCAAACTGTAACTGGTAGGCCTAAAGATCGCGGAAGGCTCGCAATCGACCGTCATCTGTTCCGTAGCCTCGCTGTATTCGATTGGGCACACGAAATATGGGTATTGACACATCACATAGGAAATCTACAAAAATTAAGCATTAAAACTATACATTAACTGTCATAAAACGTACTTACCCCCAATCCAAAAAAGACGGTGGAAATTCCTCCCCCAATGAATCCTTCCCACGTTTTCTTGGGACTCAACTTGATTAACGGCGTTTTACCGAAGAAGAAACCGAACACGTAGGCCATAATGTCGTTGCAAATGATCATGGAAACTGGGACTATGAACCAAATCATTCCTTGGAAGATGTTTTTGATTATCAAGTAGGATTGTATGACCACTATCAGAAGTGCGACGTGCGTCCACGCGAATAGCGAGAATTGTTTTATGTAGTATTTTTTCACGAGGCTCAAAACGAACCACACGAATCCGCCGCAGTACAAGCAGAAAGATATAAAGCGGTGGTAGGTCACCAAAACCCTGAGAAAATCCTAAAAAAAGTTTGTTTGTACTTAAAAATGTCCAAGTATCCTAAAATGTCTAAATATAGGTTTTATTTTTCTATGAGAAACCCAAATTTTAGTGTTTAGTCCCAAATTTGAGTGTTTAAACCTAAATTTGAGTATATACACTTAAAAATCCAGTGTTAACTCTTAAATTTAAGTGTTTATACTCAACTATTCAGTGTAAACTCTCAAATTGGAGTATATACACTTAACGATCCAGTATTAACCCTCAAACTTGATTGTTTATACTCAAACATTTTGTGAGTACTCTGGAACTTTATACTATAAACCTAAGTTTAATTAAGCGGGCACTCTCAACCGTGCACACTCACCGTTTTTTTCATGTGCTTTACCCTTGTGGAAATTTTTTCTCTGAGAAAGTCTTACTTTCTCTGAAAAAGTCTGAATAATACTTATTAAGTCGGAAAAAGTCAGAATAAGACTTATTAAGTCGGAAAAAGTCTGAATAAGTCTTATTAAGTCAGACTAATAGCAAGATTTGGGAGTCTTCTGGAAGAGTTAATAAGACTTTTTAAGACTTAATAAGACTTTTAGTAGAGAAATGGTAGGTTCCTATGGCGATAAAAATAAATATCCGAAATAATTCATAGAGATTGTAAGTATTTGGTTATCGTAAAATAAAACACATAGACAAGTATTTATTAACATTTTTGCTGTTGTTATAAGCCAAGTTTATTGCATAATTACCTATATACTAACATAGGTAAGAATCTTACCGTAAGATGTAATAATTATAACAATTATAATTTTATACATACGATGCGCTTAACATGCTTTCATTGTTTCCAACATAGAAAAAGGAGTTAATATCAAGTCTATAGACATGATATTTTCGATAGATTCATAAGACAAATATGGTTGATCTTCGTGTTTCATTCATCTTTGTATCATGGTTGATCTTCGTGTTTACGTACAGTGTTGCCATAAAAGTTCCTGACCATAAATTACAAAATACTAAAATAATAATAAAAATGTAACAAGATAGAATAAAATAATTGTGCATATTTAGTAAATATACAATATTATTTACTGAAAATTTCTTTTGTTATTATTTTGATAGAAATTTGCAAATCACCCGCAAATATTATGAAAATACCCGAATTTCGAGTAAAATACTTGCAAACGGCAACACTGTGTCCCACTGACAGGTCAGCTCTGCTCTAATTGGTCAGCTAGCTAAGCTGGTCTCTCGATATTACGTCTTACGTCTATTGTTTGTGTTAATGTTTAGATAGGTAAATATTTGCGTGTATCAAAAGAAACTATTAAAATAAAACGTACAGTGGCAAACCCTTTTTCTATTGTGGAAGCATGCATGTCAAGCGCATCGTATGTATAAAATTATAATTGTTATACCTAATTATTACATCTTACCTATGTTATTATATAGGTAATTATGCAATAAACTTGGCTTATAACAACAGCAAAAATGTTAATAAATACTTTTCTATGTGTTTTATTTTACGATAACCAAATACAACCTCTATGAATTATTTCGGATATTTATTTTTATCTCCGTAGGTACCTACCATTTCTCTACTAAAAGTCTTATTAAGTCTTAAAAAGTCTTATTAACTCTTCTAGAAGACTCCCAAATCTTGCTATTAGTCTGACTTAATAAGACTTATTCAGACTTTTTCCGACTTAATAAGTCTTATTCTGACTTTTTCCGACTTAATAAGTATTATTCAGACTTTTTCAGAGAAAGTAAGACTTTCTCAGAGAAAAAATTTCCACAAGGGTAATGACAAATTTTCGATATAAAATACAATTTCAATAATTTTTTTATTAACATGTCAAAATCCAGCCGTTAAAGTGGTTTGTGCAGTCCACCAACCACTTTAACAGCTAGATTTTGACTAAGCTGGAGCTAATTGGAGTATATACACTTAACGATCCAGTATTAACCCTCAAACTTGATTGTTTATACTCAAACATTTTGTGAGTACTCTGGAACTTTATACTATAAACCTAAGTTTAATTAAGCGGGCACTCTCAACCGTGCACACTCACCGTTTTTTTCATGTGCTTTAATGACAAATTTTCGATATAAAATACAATTTCAATAATTTTTTTATTAACATGTCAAAATCCAGCCGTTAAAGTGGTTTGTGCAGTCCACCAACCACTTTAACAGCTAGATTTTGACTAAGCCAAAAAAAATAAAACGCGATTACGGTGCAAATTGCCAAATATAGTCAGTTGTTCCTCAAATAAATCTAAACACTTATGTTTAGAGTTACACCTAAATTGAGCATAATACAATTTGGGTGTGGCTTTAATTTTGAGAGTTTAGATTTATTTGAGTGTTACACTCAAATGAAGTGTTACACCAAAATAGAGTTTAACACCCAAAGTGAGAGTACTCTCAAATTGGACACTGAACTTGAGTGAAAAACTCAACATTTGGGAGTTTTTTTGACAAGGGTATGTATACCTGGTCCAAATAAAAAATAAGAGATTAATTTTGTGTCAAGTATGACGCGTCTTCAAATCTACTCGCAAAGTTTTATTTAGGACACCCTATAGATACCTATTATAAATATTTTTTTAAACTTAAAAAAATGTTTTTTATTATAATTGCTGCACGCAGCAACTTCGGATTCTGATTTCTGAGAGCATAAAAAGAGGGTGTAATTCAATATTGTAAGAAGTTTTGATCTTTTAAATTTGATGGATGCAATTACTTTGAATATTCTCATTTCTGCCTATGATATTGTTGAAAATAGTTCATTTCTTTGGTTTCTTTGTCTGATTTTTATTTACAACTCAGGTATGTAAAGCACAGAGGATATAATGTAAAGTATATTTATGTATTATATAAAGTACCTATATTTGTATTAACAATTTCAGAGGTTATAACATATATGTTGAAAAACCGATCGATATGCTATTAAACATTAATAATTTAGTAATGAGGTCTGTTGGTAGACCCTGCACTATCTCCACTAGAGCAATATTTAAATCTGGTTGATCAAAAAGTACACACCAGTGCAGGTTATTGTAGCATCTACAAACAAATGAATTAATGGCCCATTGGCAATTATTCCTTTAGGAAAAATATTCATCACAGCTTAATTAATTATTAAAATAAAAAAAATCACAATCATGTCGTATATAGTTTTTTTCATTAGATTAAAATGCACTATTTATAAATGATAATATTAATCTCAATTTTCATCATAGGGTACATCCTTATTTATATACCTACATACAATATCAATCACTTATCTACTAAAAAACGTAAGCATGACATAATCACAAAACGCGATTTTAGACATTAAAACCTTGGATCCAAACCCTTATCCCTAGACATTTGTTGTTTTTATAATAAAAAAATAATTCAGATTAGTTTAATTAAATAATAACCGCGTGATATTGATTCATAAATTTCAGCTTACAAACAAAATTACTAACAAGATTAGCTTTTTAATTTAATTATGTAGCTACTTTAGAAATTTTATATAATAATATTATGTAGGTACCTAAATACAATTTTTTTCTGTATTTAAAAATTTATTATTACTTACAGTTCTATTAATCAACACTCCAAAGTAATCCACAAAGCTTTCTCCATAGAAAAAGTAGTTTGAGGTTATCAAAAAATACCATGAAAGTGACCTAAACCATGGTAAACCATGGATACGGTACACAGCATATCCAATGTTGATAATTTCTTGAAAACATTTCACTTGTACTGTCAAAGTCTACAAAACAAAACAAAAACACATTTTTGTTTTATTTCACATATTTTTCTTCAACTTACTGTGACCATTAGAGCCAATGGTCCCCCATATATGACCAAAAAGAAGAAAACAATCATAATCATGGTAAAAATGCCCCTTATAAACCAATTTCTCCATCTATCAGGTAAATTGTCCAAAAATATGGACAATATGCCAGGGGTTTTGTCAGTTCCAGTTGGTATTGTTTTGGATAAATCTGGAGCTTGCCCCAAATCATTTTTATCATCTTCACTGTCAAGCTATACAAATATTTTGTTACATTAAATAAACTACACAAGATTTTAAAATTAGCGGGATTAACAGGAATTAGAACTATTTCTTAAAATTTGTAAATTTATTTTCTATATAAAATTATCTCCATAGAAAGCAATACACCAATCAGAGGCTGGTATTCTCCATTGCAGTGTGCTTTGGGTAATGCTGTGCTCTGATTGTTGTATTGCTTTCTAGAGATAATTTTCTTTAAAAAGTAAAGTCACAAGTCAAGATTTGTTATTTTTGATGTTGACCTAGGTATATTTGTTGTTTATAGTTGGTCATTTGAACTATAGAAATATAAAAGTTATTAAAAAGTGTGGTTTAGAATAAATGATTTAAAATGATGCACTTATTTATTTAATGAATCATTTGTATTAATAGGTATATAAAATATGTTATCCATAGCAGTATTAATTCAAAGTATGCATTATTAACAGGAAATTGTTTATAAACATGATAAAGCAAAATAATTATAATTTAAATTAATTAATTAAAACCTACAAATTTCTATTATTTCAGAAAAATAATAATTTATAAATGTCCTTATCACTTACAAAAGGAAATGTTCCATAAAACTATTATTTATAGTGGTGGGCTAAACCGCTATTTTTAAGTAGCAGTTAAAACAGTTACCGCTTTTTTTAAGTAGCAGCTATCAAATAGCTGCTTAAAAGAAGCAGTTTATCCGAAACGGTGCTCGTGGGAATGGACAACAGCCGCTGACAGCGGCACGCGTGTTTCTTGCGCATGTTTCATTTTAAAACGGCTATTTGGGTTTGCTATAGCGCTATAGTAGCAAATCGCTTCTGCTTGGCTTACAAACGTCTAGGGAGAGTTCACAGAGATCTTTACTAGCAAATAATCGCGATCTTTTGCAATTAATGTTGTTAATAATGATTTTCTATGCTAGGATTAGGTTTAAAAAATTAAAAATAGCTTAGATATGAATAAATTTTAGTATTAAAAATCCGAGTTTAAAAATTAAAATTTTTTTTACTCGGCTGCAAATTAAAACTCATTTTTATTTAAAGTGTATAACATATTATTAATTAGTCTCCAATGCTGTAACTTTACCTTTTACTAAAATCCCGACATCAAACAGCAGTGGCGCTGTCCAAGGCCGAGTAGCAGCTTTTTGATATAGCGGAATTCGAAACAATACGTTAAATGCGATCACAAACGGCGGAGTTAGGTTATGTTGTTGGTAGCAGCTTTTTTTAAAACCGGGTAACAGTGATAGCTGCTTCAGCAAAATAACTGTTAAAAAATAGCAGCTTACGCGATAGCAACCCACCTCTAATTATTTACCTTGAAATATAACCCAGGTATTCATTAGCATAGAAAAACTAGTTTTAAAATAATAAAACGTGTTTTTTTAACATTTACTGCATAGAGTAAAGTAATGTATTATTATATTTTAACTTTTATTTGATATAGTTATAAACACTAGTGTATTTAACAATCCAATTAGATAATTTGTTATACTTTTTTTAAAACAATAACAACCCAATTTAATCCAATTAAGCAAAACTGCACTGGGTTTTATCAAGCTGTTTAAGTAATTTATTAATAAATCCCATGCAACAATTGTTTATATAACCCAATGTTCTATTAGGTAAATGTTTACTTTAAATATCAATTATTAAAAATCTGCATTTTATTTGGGTAACAATGATTTATTTTTGTGTTAAACACAAAAATATTCTTAGGTCATTCATAGTATTGTTCGCAATTTCCTGTTATGCAAAAATTGACTCAATTAATCCAATCATCATAAAACATAACACCACGTCCCAAATCCATATCTAAAACCCCCAATATTCTACTTACATGATCGCTCTCAGCTGATTCTAGCGGCTTCGCGTCCGATTCTTTTCGTTTCCTTACTTCCGACATGTTACGGCAAGATTATTCACAACACTCGCACTTCGCAGCACTTCTTTTCCCTTTCGGAAATCCTATTTATGTTGGCGAAGTGTTTATAATTCGTCAAAATCAATACAAGTTATAGAGGTTATGAGCAGCGACATCTGCACCAACCCGACAAAACGTCGCCGCTGAAAGTGACGTTTGGGAGTTGAGTAGCTCGAAATGTAGACTGCAGATGGCGCGGATGCTTTTAAATACAAAAATAAGCGGGATTTTTAAAATAAAACTACTTGAATAAAAGTGTCTTATTAGGGTGTTTTAAAATACAAAAAGTTCGTTCATTAACAATACTATAATTTAACTGGGCATGTAGAAAATAAACAATGGAGATTTGAATTTAACTTAAAATGTGAGAATGATTTTTTCTACGACCACTACTTATGTAAAAGTCACATTTCCTATTGGCATCCTTGCTTAGAAAATGAGTATTTTCATTGGCAAGGCAAAACACGAATGTAAAGTGACATTTCTGTGTGAAAAGTGACAGGTCTGTGTGACAGCCAGAGATAAAGAAGGTGACAGCATCCAAGATACATACACCTTATGGACAGCATCGTTTGACATTTGTTTCAAAAGTTGTATTTTATTTGTATATTTATGTCTAAATATCATTTAGAACACAATTAATTGTGTTTGTATAATAAATTCTAATTTTTAGTGACTTTATTTAAATTGAGAAGGTAAGTTTATTGATTTTAAGTAACTTATACTTAAAAATTAAAAGAATAAGTTGAAAGTAATTTTAACAGCTGTCAAACACGTTTTTAGGTTATTTTGTATTTGAATATAATAGAAAATAAAAGGGTCGTAGAAAAAACATGTTTCACTTGTGAGAAAAGCTTTCTTCAAGCTCGTGTTAATGCACACTCGGCCTGACGGCCTCGTGAGCAACTTAAACACTCTCATGAAAAAGTCGCTTTTTAAAACTTTTAAAACAAATAACTATTAAATACTAAAAGCGGGAATTTTTAATACAAATTTATGTTTGTTCAAAATCAAATTTTTAAGATTAAAAAAATTGTTTTCGTGTTTATAAAATTTATTAACAATAATAACAATACGATAATTTGACTTAGGGATATAGAAAATAAACACCGGAGATTTGGATTTAACTTAAAACTATTTACTGTTCATTCTTTCCAGGCTGACAAAATCTGAAATACAACATATGAACAAAAATGTTTTTATTAAAAATGCAGTCAATATAAAACAAACGACTTTTTATATATTTCAGATTGTTCAGTTAAATGCTACAACACATTCCATCACATTTTAGAATTTAGTTGCCAGGAGTTGGCACATTTAAGAGCATATTCTGGCCACCAGGTAAGTAAGCAACTTGTCTTGATTTGGAAAGTTGATAGGCGATGTCTTCGGCTGCTTCGATTCTTCTTAATTCGACCAAACCTTCGCCGGCATCTCCAAAAGCTTTAGCCAACAAAATGGCGGCTTGTGCGTCACCTTCGGCCGATATAACGGTGGCTTTTCTGGTTTGCTCGGCTTTTTCTACCAAGAATCTGGCCTTTTCGGCGTCTTGTTGCGCCACCTGTTTTAACTCTACAGCCTGTGTGAACTCTCTACCGAAAGTTAGATGGGTGATGGAAATATCGTCGAGGATGACGCCGAATTGAGCAGCCCTCTCCATCAAATCCGCGCTCACTTTCTGAGAGACCAGGTCACGTTGCGTGATCAATTCGCCGGCGTCAAATTGAGCAACAACGGCCTTCAAAACTTCGGTCGTGATAGAGGGCAGCACGCGTTCTTCGTAATCCTGGCCTAAGATTGTGTAGATTCTCGGTAGTTGGTCTGGTACGGGCCTAAATAGGATACGTAGGGTGATGTTGACGTTTTGGAGATCTTTACTGCCCGTGACAACAGGAACGTTCCTAGGCCTGGACCTAACATCAAAAATAATCGGCCTTTGCACCCACGGAATGAAAAAATGCGTACCCTCGCCCATAACTTGCTTCTTGATTCCTGAGAATCTGTCGAATATTACGGCTCTGTTTCCACCGTCAACTGCACAAAATTTGAAAATCCAAAATAAATAAAATAATGAATATAGGTATAAAGAAGTGATGGTAAAAAATTCTTTATATAAACAACTTTTTAAGCTTTAAAACAAGGGACTTGTAACATAACCTCGTATATTGTAACAGAAGAGTAACGAAACTTTAGGAAGCAAAACTGCTGGGAATCTGAGCAAAACCGAAAAACCGGAAATGGAAAAAACCAGCAACGCCACCTGAGTAACTTAATCGTAACGTAACGTAATTATACAAGGTTTGTCAACAATACGCTAAAGTATAGGGTTTTCGCAACGCGCGCGCCATCTGGTGAACTTCGAACGCATTGCGTGAATTTAAGAATTGTCAACAATACATTTAAAGCACAGATTAAACATCATTTTTAAATAGTACCTAGGTAGTTTTTTCACAAAAGAGAGGACAAATTTTGTTCAATTGCATAGCTAATTTTGTTCAATTGCATAGCTAAATCCCGCACGTTATTTGTGTTTTACGTTGCAAAAAACTTTTTTAGTACTCGATTTCGATTGATTATTCCTTATATCATTGATTAAGAAACTCAACGCTTAAATACCTATACAGGGTGTCCCGAAATTAGGGGGCCAAACTTAAACAGTGCATTCTTCATAGAAAAGTAACACTTTTTTGTTAAATAAACATGTATCAAAAAATGCCCCCTAACGGAGCTACGGCCCCCTGAATAGGAGCCTAAGAGAATAGTTTTTTTTAAACTATTCCTAGAGCGTTAAACATGAAGAAATTAATTTTTGGCACTTTGGTAATTTTTAGATGCTGAATCAAGATCTAAGATCAAAACTGTTAAAATTTAATCATAGGCGTAACATTTGGGGGGGAAAAGTTATAAAAATAGCCCCAACTTTTTTCCGAGATAATATTTTAATTTTTATTTATGAAATTATGAAAACTTATAGTTTTTTACGAAAAATAGGTAGTGTGGATTTGAATCGCGGCCATTTCAAGCGGATGGACGGGACAAATCACAAAACTGTTTTTATAAAAAAAATTGTAGGTAATTTATTATATATTATTTTTGCATCCAAATTTTCAAATATATTCTTCTATTATTAGGCTATACATTAAATAAAAAAAATCGCAAGAAATGTTTTATAAAAGTAGAGATAATTTCAATAATTGACAGGGGATGGACGGGACAAGATACATCTTTTTTTTGTCCCGTCCACACCTTTCAATTATTAAAATTATATCTACTTTTATAAAATATTTCTTGCGTTTTTTTTTATTTAATGTATAACCTAATAAAAGAAGAATATTTTTGACAATTTTGATGCCAAAATATTATATAATAAATAATCTACAATGTATTTTATAAAAACAGTTTTGTAATTCGTGCGTTTCGCGCGCTTGAAATGGCCGATCGCTCAGATGCACCATTTTCGAGAAAAATGCATTTATAAATTACTCTGCATAGCATACACATCTCATATTTTCGTTAAAATTTTGTGTTAAAATTTGAAAAATCGCTCCATAATAAAAAATAACAAAAATCGAGCCAAAAAATATTAACTAAACTATAAAAATAAATGTAGTCAGCAAATAACCCAAACGTCACTTTTGTCCCAAAGCTTTTTAATGAAAATATTAGAAATTATGGTAAGCATAGTAATTTAAATTGCAATTTTCTCGTAAATGGTGCATCTGAGCGATTCAAAGCAAGAGTACCTATTTTTCGTGAAAAACTATACATTTTCATAATTTTATAACAAAAAATTAAAATACTCACTCTGCAAAAAGTTGGGGCTGTTTTTGTAAATTTGCTCCCTCAAATGTTACGCCTATGATTAAATTTTAACAGTTTTGATTATAGATCCAGATTCAGAATGTCAAAATTACCAAAGTTCCAAAAATTCAGGTCTTCATGTTCAACCCTCCAGGAATAGTTTTAAAAAAATGATGCTCTTAAGCTCCTATTTAGGGGGGCGTAGCTCCGGGCATTTTTTGATATATGTTTACTAAACAAAAAAGTGTTATTTTTCTATAAAGAATGCACTGTTTAAGTTTGGCCCCCTAATTTCGGGACACCCTGTATAGTTACGTTAGTGTGTGTATTTTATCAAAGGCGAATTATTGTGTTTTAAATTATAAATAAAATTCAATAACTAAATCCTTGCATTTTCATGTTTTGCCAAAGGATCCAATTCGGTAAGTACATTTGTTGGTGCAGAATTAACTAATGATAACTTTACCTAATATAATTTATATTTAAGTTTTGACATTTTTAAGAAATTAGTAAAAAATAATTCAATATCAATATACTTGGCAGCATGGAAGATTCACATCTGATAGACAGATCACAATGATTTTTACGAAAACATTGTGTTATTGAGACGTTTTATTACTCAGTTGCATTTACTAGTTTTATTTTAATATCTTTTGTTTCTGTAGTGATTTCAATAGCAATTTTGTTTCCGCTGAAACTGTTACCAAGCTTTAGTTAATTGTTTTGGTACTAATAAGTATCGTTTTTAAAAGTTTCGTTATCATTTTTTGTAGTGCATATTTTAATAAGGTTGCTTTTTGATCCTTATATGAATTACGATACCATAACAGAGGTTATGGAGTTACAAGTACCATAACAGAGGTTATGGAGTTACAAGTCCCTGTTTAAAATACTTTTTTTTTTTAATTAAATAACAAATAATTATATTTTGTAGATTAGTCCATATCTTCTTACAAAAATTACTATATAAATGGAAACGAGTTAAAAACTCAATTTGGTCTGAGAAAACAAATTTTTACAATAAATTTGAAATTAAAAAAGTGATGTTAAAAAATTACCTTTAATTTTAAGAAAATATTTTCCATTAAAATTAATACTTTGTAAATGGTCGATAACTTCTCACAAAAATACATATTTCAATCGCGTTAAAAAGGCTTTTCAGGATAAAATATAGTATGCACTTACCATTGTATAAAGCTGAATTTACTACACCGCCGACAAGGGCTACCCCCAACCCAAACTGTCCGATTCGATTAAACAACTGTGCGGCCGACATAATCTAAAAATTCAGAAAAAGCATGGGGTTATTGCGCAATTTAAGGTTAGGTTTTTTACACCCTCAAAAACACCTTTAATATCAACCTTTTAATAAACTAAACACAAAGTAAATACTTACGTAAGCACTTTAAAATGTTTCCAAGAAAAAAACAAATCCAATTCAAATAACCGGTGATATTTTACTAGAAATATTCCAAAATGGATGCCGGATTTTGACAGAAGGCAGATTTCTTTTTGACGTTTGGTCTGTCAAAAATCACATGACGCAACGAAATACCCCTTAATTGCATGGTTGGTTGCCTACCTACAGTATTAGCAAAATAATGTTTTTTTTCAGGTTTGTTTAAAAAAAAAAATAAAGCTACATTATTAAGGAATTTGGTATTTATTTGAACTCATCAAAATAATAAGTGGTACATAAAAAATATAGAATATTTCCTAAAACCTATAATAAAAACATTGATTAAAGAATCTTCTTCAGTCAATGATAAAACAGTATAAATATATTTAATCAGCCTTTTTCTTGACATCTACATTCCAGTAGTATAATAATTGAGCAACAAGTACAAAGTTAGCCAGAGTACTAGCAATATAAGTTAAAATAACAACACTGTCCCCTGTTTCTTGTATGGAAGTGAAAATTCTAGCTGCAGAACCTGCAAATAGCATAAACAACCCTGTTGTAAATGACCGATTAATTCCTGTAGAAACCAATTGAAGTATTGGTTGGTATCAATGGGTCTGAATTGGACTTACTGGTTTTAATTGGGCGCGATATAAAACAGAAATTGGTTTTTACTGGTATTTTCCATGATGGAAAATACCAGTTAGGATTCTAATGGTTTTTATTGGTTTCGATTGGATAAAGCTACCTATAGGTAATTTCCAATTGAATTCAATTGGGCATTGCCAGTGTAAGATTTGAAAAATCTGCTAATTGGTTATTCCCAATACAATACAAATATCGCAAGAGGGCTCTCGTGTAGCTGCGCAAAATCAACGAGGTTGAGACGCCATCATAAAGAAAAAACAACAAGTCTTTGGACGCCATTTATTAGCGGTTTATTTTATTAGTCGATTTCAGTGTTAAGTGCCTAGTGTTAGTAGTGTACTTATATATTAAAAAAATGTTTATATGTGTAAGATTTAGGGATTTAGGCGATAGTAAGTTATATGTATTAATACATACCTACATATATCACAAAAAAATAATAAAGAAATAAAATTACTCAGTAACAATAAATTTTTTGTCTCTTCTGTAAAAAATGAATTCTGGTTTTTACCCGGTTATCCTTCTGCGATCTAAAATTATTTTTGAATGAAAAATAAACTGGTAGGTATTTTCTAATCCAAATTTTAAAAAATGAATTGGTTTAAATTGGTTGGAATGGGTTTGGTGCTATGAATTACCAATTCATTCCATGTGCATTTCTATTGGATTTAGCCAATAGAGACAAGCGTAGGATTGGTATTTTCCAATTCAAGCCGCTGACTTCATTGGAAATTACCAATAGGAATTCAACTGGAATGAATTGGTGATTCATAGCGCCAAAACACATTTCAAACCAATTCAAACCAATTACTTATTTTTTATTGGATTCTATTGGTATTTTCCAATTCAAGCCGCTGACTTCATTGGAAATTACCAATAGGAATTCAACTGGAATGAATTGGTGATTCATAGCGCCAAAACACATTTCAAACCAATTCAAACCAATTACTTATTTTTTATTGGTTTCTATTGGTCATTTACAATAGGGAAAGTAACTGCAGCCAGTTGACCAGTGTTTCCATTCTTGTAATTTGACCAAGCTTGAATTAATTTCCCTGACACCACAATTGGTATATTAAAACTTTGCAAGTACCACAGTATTTTAAGTGGGGTTATACCCCCAATCATTACATACACAATTACCAAATATACAAAGAAATAAACAATCCCAGCGGGTTTTAAATTTTTATACCACAAAACCAAAACGGCTATAATTACAGTTTGTATTCCCAAAAAAGTCGCGTCTCCCCACGAACTAAACGGAAACTGTTTTACGTAACTGTATGACGCGTAAATTGTGATAGCAGCTAAGTCCAAAGATACACTGAACAGGCTGATTCCTTCACCACTTTTATTCTTCAGTATTTTGAATATTTGAGGCAATTTCACCAGAAGAGAACCCAGTATAATGCCTATACCTAACCCTTTGCTTAACGTGGCACTAAAGCAAGGCCCTAGAAACAGAAATTAGCAAAATCTCATATTTTTTAACATAACCTACCATCAAAGAAATTGAAGTCTAAAAAGTAGTTATCGAAGCATTTTGGCGTAAATAAAATAAGGGCGACTTGCCGGAATACATCAAACGTTGTGTTATTCATTTTAACGTCCATTATTATGTGGTTTAATTTAATTTTAATTTAATTTAATTTAATTTAATTTAATTAAACTCTATTTATTTAAATTATTTGATATTACATACTTGAGATACGTGTCATTGACTTTTTTGTGTTAAAACAGGTTTCTTTATGGATATTATGAGTATTTTGTGTGGATGGCGCTGAGTGGTTTACATGTGGATTTTAAAATATTTAAATTTTCAAACCGAATATCTTGTTGTTATCTCTGTTTTTATAATTTTTAATATTTTATTTTAATAAATAATTAATAGATTATTAGTTTTGGGCGTTTTTGGTTTTATTTGTTTATAACAATTTAATTTTTTTAACGTTGGTACCTGATTAAAGTGAGAACTGTCAGTTTAGTGTTGCACGGCCTTCTATGATAAATATCGGTTTTTACCGTTATCCTTATACGTAGTGTTAATAAGGCTCCTTTTTGTTTGTTCGTGGTTAAACTCAACTTAAAATCCACACAACAGATCAGAAGATTGATGAAAACCGTATAAGGCAAACGAAGGAGATATGTCAAGGAAATGAAACACAAGTTTAGTTCAATTAATTTAGTTTTTCTACTTAAAAGGGTCTATTTTTAACTGCATGTGATATTTTTAACTATGTGAATTATGTGTAACGTGATAAAATAATGAATGTTTTGTGTGTTTGAGTGAATGGTAACATAACCAAATTTCCGAGTTCCATGAAATTTTTACAGAAAAATATGGCTTCGATAAACAGCAGATCCTGGATACTTCGTAAGTTCTTTGTTTTATTATTTAAAATTGTTATTTTATCTACCATTGCATTTTCTAAACTTGGTTTTTAAAGTAGCTGTCAAGTATCCTTTAAATTTAATTTTTTACAGTATTTATTTGTCAAAGTAGGTATCTGTCAGAGTAGCAGTCAAGTAGCCTTTGAATTCAATTGTTTTTCCATTTAGCTGTCAAAGTAGCAGCCAAGAAGTTTTGAAAGTAGATTAAAATTAATAAATATTCTTTATCTATTTCGCGTTCATAATGACTTCATTATAACACCGCTTTTAGTTCTTTAATGAGGTACTTTATTCCACCCAAAATTTTGATTTTATAGGTTGGCTACTAGTAAAATAAAATATTGAATACCTATAGGTTATAATATTTTTATGATTTGTTTTCTAGTACTTACGAGACTTTTCGTGCAATAAATTTTGTTTAACACCAAAGAAAATCCTTTTTTCTTCTTTAACACTTTAACTGCCGGCAACGCGGCTACCGCGTTCTTGTGTATTTTACAATATGCCGAGCACGCGGGACCCGCGTTCTGTACGATGGCATATAGCATGGTTTTTGTCGCTGGGTGCCGCCAACGCGTCTACCGCGTTTGTTTATTTGTTTTTTGTTTTAGTATTTTTTCAAATAGAACCTTTCAATAAGAAACGAAAGAAACATCTTTAGTCCATTTGTATCTAAAATTTCTAAAAAAATCTATCGGCACTGCAATATGGGCGAACTATTACGTCGGCAGTGAACGTGTTAACAGCCGCTTATTGTAAATACTTATTGTAAATTAACGACGCCATAGCGAAATAATGTGATAATGTTTGAAAGGTTAATGACCTTTCAAACTTCAAACTGAGATACCAACTATGTAAAGTAAAATTCGACCAAATTAAATATAAGGTATAAAATTAATTTGTTTTATGAAATGTTTGCAAAATAGATAAAATAGCATAAAGAACTTATGTCATAAGACCTTTTGTCGCACTTGTCCATTATAAAACTCGCTCCTTCGTCGCTCGTTTTATAAATTGTCCGCGTGCGACAAAATGACGTCTTATGACATTAGTTCTTTAATATACTATTTCATTGTGAATAGCTGTTGTAGCCTTTAAATAAAATGGTTTAGCATTTATATGTCAAAATAGCAGCCAGCTAAACTAAGTTTAAAGTAAGGTATTTTTTTTTAGAGGAGCTAATGGCTCACAACTCAAAGGTGAATTGTCTGAGTTTGGGGCGTAAATCGGGGCGCGTTATGGTAACAGGCGGGGATGACAAGAAAGTAAACTTGTGGGCTATAGGAAAATCATCGTGTTTTATGAGCTTGAGCGGACACACAACCCCAATTGAATGTGTGCAGTTCAACCAGCTCGAAGAGTTGGTTTGTGCTGGTTCTCAGGCCGGAGCCCTAAAAATATGGGATTTGGAAGCCGCAAAGTTGGTTAGGACTTTAAACGGGCACAGCAACAAAATTAAGGCAATTGATTTTCACCCGTACGCGGATTTTTTGGCTTCTGGGAGCGCCGATAACTCCATTAAACTGTGGGATACGCGTAAAAAGAGTGCAATAACTACGTACAACGGACACAAGGGTAGTGTGAACAGTGTTAAATTCAGCCCCGACGCCCAGTGGATAGCCACGGGCTCCGAAGACGGTTCCGTGAGGATATGGGATGTGAGAGTCGGAAGAGTGTTAAAAGAGTTTGTGGACCATCAAAGTGCTGTAACTTGCGTCGAGTTTCACCCCCACGAATTTTTACTGGCCACGGGCTCCACGGACAGATCCGTTAATTTTTTTGATTTGGAAAACTTTAATTTGGTTTCGAGCGAGACAAGTTTAGGTATTGTGCAGAGCTTGTGTTTTAACCCTGATGGGGAGTGTTTGTTTACTGGAGTAAAGGATTTTTTGAAAGTTGTTGGTTGGGAGCCTTCGAGGTTGTACGATACAGTGCCAGTGAAATGGGGGACAGTTGGTGATATTTCCACTGCTCAAAATCAGCTGGTAAGTCCACTATTTCAGTAAATTTGTATTGCATTGTAAAACTTTAAAACCCTAAATTTCGTTCCAATTATGGTGGACATTTTTAAAAATTTCGTATTTAATTAATATAAATTTGCCCCTTTTTTGTTTTAACGATTTATTTATTATTTCTCGAAAGTATCTAAAACGGTCATCTGTAGGTGTAAAAATCTGAGAAAGAACTTGAATCATCTAATTTAAATATTTGACCTTTTTTTACTGTTTTGCAATATACCTACATTTGTTTTTTTAAACTAAAAAAAAACATTATTTTTATTTTCAGTCAAACCGCCAAACAAGGTTACCTCTGACAAAATAAACATAGTTTTTTTAATAATGTGTACCTTGCATTTTATTGTAATGTTATTATTTGGTATCTCTTTTTATTTGTTTTTAAATGGTCACTTATTATTTAACAAATGTTAAACAAATAATTAACAACAGTCGTATAATTTTTGCGTGTTATATAATCCCCCCAAGTAACTTTTACTTTTTTAACGTTTAGAAAGTACAAATGTTTCTAATTATAATTTAAGGGTAAAATCAATAATTAGTTCTTTCAACTCTTGTGTTTATTTTTATTTATATAGATTAGGTTTTTTATTATTTTTTTTTGGTTTACGGAACTTATGCACTAAGTATGGTTACGATTTGTTCGTCCACATTTTTGCTACTTCCAAACCGACATTCAAAAATCCCCACAAGCAAAAAACACAGTAAAACAATTAATTTAAATTATTAAGGGGAAAGAAAATTTGTTTTACCAACAAATTTGAACTATCCTTTCTGTACAATCATTAATGGTTTAATGAACCTATGCGTTCAAAGGTCATAAAAGGGACTTCCGTCTTTTGTGACAGTTCAAGTTCATGCTTATTACCAAATAAATATTTAATCTACTTTTCATTTATTATTAAATTAAAGTAAGTGCTATTTGTAAGCAAGATAAGTAAATGTAAAAATCTTGTTTACCGTATTAATTTCTATCTAGGATTTATCTACTTTACCGCAACGGAATAAATCTATTAATTAATGAAGCATGTTGCTTTCTTTATTTAATGTCAATTGTGAATAAAATGCTTTCTTCTCAACAGAGATGCCATCCAAAATAAATAAAATGAATTACCTAGTCAAAAATAACTAATTAGTAGTAATTGTCATAGCGAAAAAGCAGTCACTAATAATTAGTCAAATTCTACTGAATGAAATACCTAGTCAAATTAGTAGATTTAAATTTAAAAAAAGTTTTGACCCAGCCGGGAATTGAACTCAAGTCTGTCACTTGTCAAGCTATTGTCATAACCCATTCGGCTGTCAGCCGCTCTTATAAAAATCAATTTTATTTGTCAATAAATATTGTTCATAATATTTTAAAGTTTAATATAATATTTGTGTTGGTGTTTTGAGCTAAACTTTTTGCATCTTTATTTGTTTTTATGGGTCATTTAATCATGGAGCTTAGGTATATGCATTTAATTCAAATAATACTTTGTTGTTGGCCGCAAACGATTAAAGAAATTAGTTACTTTTAACTCTCAGAAATAGTCAAAGATGGTGACTAATCTTAAATTAGTCAAACTTTAACTATTTACGTAGTAAAAAATAACTATTTAAAAGTGAAAACGACTATTTTATTAGTAAAAAATGCTGGTACTAATTCAAGTAGAATTTTGACTATTTCATTTTAAGAGAGTGAAGATTTCTAAATATTTGGAAAAAAAAATTTTTTTTTTATTTTCCAATTTTTTTTTTAAATTGCATGACATCTAAATAAGTTTCTGGTGTTGCGACTATGCGAAGAATATACTACATCTTTTCTTGTCCAGTTTTAGAAAATTCTCATCTTAAACCATTTCACGAAATTCTTTCAGGAATTTTTCAATTCTGCATTTTTCTTCAATAATAGGGATATAAAAAATGAAACTGGTTCTTTAAGTAACAAAATTGTTTATAGTAAGATCATTTTCGTTAGCTTAGTTTTTTACCATCATTTCTTCACTTTTTGTAGTCACTGTTGTCAAAAATTCCAATTGGATTTAAAAGCAGTGTACCTACGTCTTCTACTACTCGGAAACAATTTATTTTTCACCTCAACTAGGCACCTGAAGATATTATCCTAGAAAACCATAATCTTGCCTCCACAGTGTTTTTTTCTTTATTCAATTGTGGACCACCTGAATATAGAATAATAAGTAGGCTTTGAATTTCTTTTCTTTTTTCTAAAAATTGTTGAAAATGTTAATTAACGTACTATAGCCCAAACCAGAATCTGGTTACCTCGCTGGTTACCTATAGTTACTATAGTTACTTTTGCTGTGAAATGCGTTTGCAGATCAGCGCATTCTTATTTTTTTTTGCAGTGAGATCCAAAAGGGTCTTTGAATTTGAGGTTAGGTCATCTGTCAAATTAATCTTTTCTTTAATTAAATTTGCCAATATTTGTACAGAATTTTATGGAAAGCTTGTTGAATGTTGCGTGTTTTTCTTTCGAAATACTAGGCCGCTTAAATTTAGGTTCCATTTTTGTAGTTTTTTATGGCTGTTATGAATTTTTAAAATTAAATGAGATACCTACCAACTTTGTGAATAAATAAAAAACAAACGCGTTATGTACTTATCATTGTAGCCAAGCTAATAAAAAAACTCCCAGTTAGTACGTGAATTGTGTTTTGTTTATAAATAAAATTTGTGAAAAAAATAAAGAAAGTTTTGTTTAATTCAAATATGTTTTTAAAACATTTCCTTCACACATAATTTAACTGTCGTTATGCTCCAGAAGAAAATTATTATTAATAGGAACCTTTCAAAAATTAGAACAGACGCTTTGTTGTATGCAAATCATAATGGCAACCTCGCTTCACTAAACGCCCTGATTCGCCCAATTAATTTTCGAAATGGGATGTGCGAAATAATTGTTGTCGATAAAAAAATTATAATATAATGGATTAAAAGAACCGTATTTGTCGGAGAAAATTTCCTAGATGACTCGAGACTTTTTTATATTATATGCTATGCTGCGACAAGGTTAACGTGCTAAAATTGCCGAAGAAGTTGAGTAAAATGTTTCACGTATTTGGTCGGACTATAATTTTTCTAAATAATTTATTACTAATTAATTTACATATTTGTATAGAGCGACATCTATACAAAAATAGAGCAACCAAAATATCGCTTAATGTCATAAAAGACTGTAGGAAAATTGGAAAAATTTCTGAGCGTTTTAATATTAAACAAAACACGCGCGGAATTGTGTTTAGGCACTGACCAAGCCCTCCTAAGCTACTATTATATTATAGCTAAACATTTTAATTTTTAATGCATTAAATGACTTAATGATTATCTGAGAAATTGTGTCAGTTTATTTTTTGCTTTCTTAAAGTAGAAAAAATATGTTATTGAATCGGTGAGATTAAAATAGTAGGTAAATGTCCAAAAGTTAAATTTTTGACAAAATATTTCAAAAAATCAGTTTTTATAGATTTAAATGCATTTTTATAAAATATAATATATTCATATTCTGTAAAATGATTTATACTTATCTTCTCACAAAAATGTATTTTGAACTTTAAAATTGATTTTTTATAAAATGACAAAAATTAAATTTTTGGACTTTACTGTTCTTATTCTCACCGATTCAATTATAAAACGTAGTTTTATGATGCCATCATGATGATGGAAATATAATTTTAACAAAACAAATTAAATCCGGAAAATCATGATGCGCGTGTATAAAATTGTATAAGTTACCAATTTACAAAATTAAACAATAAAAATCATTACCTAATGTGCAAATTGATTACAATTATCAGTGTATGTAGTAAATTTGAACAATATGGAAAAATATGTTCACTCAATCTAATTGTATTAATTATACAGCATTGCTTTATGGCAATAAAAACCATATTTTTTCAGGTTGGTGCCTCCTTCAATCTTACCAACGTCCACGTGTACGTCGTGGATCTAAAAAGGGTCCGCCCCTTGGGCCAAAACACTCTGGACGAAAGTCCGTGTGCCTTCACGCCCAATCAAAGCATCAGAAAAAGTTTTTCGAAAGCAGAACGACCCGTCAGCCTGAAAAATCGGTCCCTAGACGTTAAAACAATCGAGGAGAGCACGTCGGGGACGGACCCTGAGGAGGAATCCTGCGCCGACATCGTCAACAGGGTCGATTACGAGGAGATATTCAAAGGAAAAGGACGTAAGTGCAGTTTTTTATATAGGTAGTTTTATAAGTCTTTTATTAACCCCGTGGCCTACCAAAGAAAAACACTTTTTGGTCAACATTTTCAACTTTAAGAACAGGTAATACTCACTGAGGACCAGATCTGGCCAATAATAATAATAATAAGGTGGAGCGGATTTTTATAGAGGCAGATTCAGTTGAGAGCATTTAAACTTTCTGGATACGTATTTGACACCCGATCGATAATGCCAAACGTTTTTTTTTTGTTATTAAACTAAATTTATTGAACACAATTTCTCGCGCAGAATTGTGCTCAAAAGGTTAACTTTAATTTAAATAAACCGTCATAGTCCAGTCATCTAGGCATTTCACCTCGGAATCTAACGGAATAAGCTGAATTTTTGTACAAACCTTTATTTTAGCAATGCAAATGTTGTCTCAAAAGTCACATATGCCAACGTGTGAGCGGCCTTAGGTATTCAAGGTCAAAGGTCGCAAAAATCAATTTTTAGAGAATATCTCCTTTTCTCTGCCTCCTATCGTATTTGCATTTATTATACAAGTTGTAGAGAATAAAATTCTCTTTAAATTTTGTTTAAAACATTTTTTTATACGTGTAATGGTTTTTGAGATAGAGGGCGCAGACTGTGGAGCGCTCAGCCATACGTACCTTTAGCGCAAGGTAAATCATGAATCCCAATCTAAAATACCGTTTTTTTAATTAATTATTTATTAAATATTACTTAAATAACAATTTAATACCTTATATTTATTTTTATATATTTTTTTAAAACAAATAGTCATTAAATATTACTTACTTTTGACATACAAATAATTAAATAATGAAGTGAATCATTCTAAATATATTCTAATGTTATTCTAATTAATGATAAATGCATTTTAAGAAGAAAAGACATTAAATGAATTTGCCTTGAATATGTCTCTGGTCATCTCTTGGATCCAGATATTGCTTTTAAAATAACAGACCTGGAAATACTATAGTGGGCTTGCTATAAATTAAAAGGTTAGGTATACCTATATAGCTATATTTAAAACAAGTTGTGACCCTAGGTATAGGTCTAGGGTTGTGACAGGTAATATTCGTAATATTTTAAAGGTTAACATGGCTGATTTGTGTTTTATTTGTAATAAGTTACTTTCTGAAGGTGATTCTGTGACTTTTGTGCGCGGTATAAAGACTTTAAAAGAAGCAATTATTGAGAGAAATAAACATAAACTACCTAAATACTTTGACTTCTGTGAACGTTCTGTGTACGCTATAGCGCATAATAGTAAAATTGCAGCAGCAAAACGTCATCAACTGTACCTCGTCAAAAAGGGAATGATGTGTTTGATTTTAAAATATTGTGCTTATTTTGTGGTGAAGTCGCAGATGAGGCAACAAAGGCAAAAAAATCTGCAAAGTACAAACGCGTTATAAGTAAGTTTTTGATATGACAATTAATGTTAATGATAACGTGATGATGAGAATGAGTCTGAAATTGCTGGCCAACCTGAAGAATACGGGGATGAAGAAGATAAAGATTAATAATAATATTGATATAAATAAAAACATTTTTTCCTACTCCGATCCAATTATCCTTCATTAAAATTAAATTAAAATATAAGATATATATGAAGATAAAATATATTTGATTTAAAAGAAATATAAATATAAGTATAAGGTATTAAATTTTTATTTTAGTAATATTTATTATATAATTAATTAAAAAAAACGGTATAATAGATTGAGATTCACGATTTACCTAAAGGTACGTATGGCTGAGCGCTCCACACTCTGCGCCTTCTATCTCAAAAACAGTTCGACGTATAAAAAAAATTTGTAAACAAAATAAACTTTTATAATAAATGCAAATACGATAGGAGGCATAGAAAACGAGATATTCTCAAAAAACTGATTTTTGCGACCTTTGACCTTGAATATCTAAGGCCGCTCACACGTTGGCGTATGTGACTTTTGAGACAACATTTGTAATGCTAAAACAAAGGTTTTCACAAAAATTCAGCTTATTCCGTTAGATTCCGAGGTTGATCCCTTTTTTTGACTAAGATGACGTTTTATTTTGTTATTAAACTAAATTTATTGAACACAATTTCTCGCGTAGAATTGTGCTCAAAAGGTTAACTTTAATTTAAATAAACCGTCAATTAATAAACGAAGTGGTGCATAATTCCTGTAATAGTTCGTCTGGCTAATTTTGAGAAAGTTTAGGGGTGATTCTGCATAAAAATGACGAATGATCCCTTAATAAAAGTGTGAACTCTGCGGTGGTCTTATTGCACTCGTGTTATTTTAAGAAGGAAATGGAAATTAAAAATAGATTTAATACGTATTGTTAAAGAAAGGAAGTCTTAACTTAAATATCAATGTGCATACGTACATTTAAATAAAGTCCGTGTTTTTTATCTACTAATTTATGATCGCTAATTAAACAATATTATGACGATATTAAAATTTCTAACTCTCACATAAATTTCTAATAATAGTTAAAAAAACATTCAGTTTAACAAATTTAAATATTAGGTATTGATCATTTAAATCCCCCTAATTTAATAAATATCAAGTTAACTTAATTATCATTTAAAGCTAAGCTTTTAAAACCCAGGCACTAAGCTTTATTTAAGGTACTAATTTATTTAACAGGATGCACAACAATTTAACTTTACTGATATACAAAAATATTCTTTATTAGGTACCTGAGATTTTAAATAACGATATTTTTTTGTAAAATATTGTTTTATATAATGAAAAATTTTGTTTGTTTAATATAATTTGATGATAAAATTATGTTATCGATTGGTATAAATACAAGCAAAAAATGTAGCTTGTATATGATATTGAAAGTAAAGTAAATTTATCTGATACAAATTTGAAGGAAGTAGGTATTTAAAAACAACTCTTTTTACATAATTTGCAAAAAAAATACATCTTAATATTTAATTTTTTTTTTTAATTTGAGATCAGATTCGACTTTTTAGATATATTTGGGAAAATTTCAGGTCTTAAAATTTATCTTTTTGAATTTTTTTTAATTTTGATTTTGCCATACTTCAATACATATGGGGCATTCCACGTTACTCGGTAATTTTTGTCCCGCCCGTCACAATTAAAAATTGTGAGTAAAAACCACAAGTTATAAAATTAATATTTTATAATATTATTTTTATTGTGCTTATAACTTATTAAAAGCATAATAAAACAATATTTTTAAATAAATTTTATAACGTGTAGTTTTTACTCACAATTTTTAATTGTGACGGGCGGGACAAAAATCCCCGAGTAACGTGGAATGACCCACATGTAAAAAAAATTTCAATTAATTCGTACGTGTAATTCAATTTTTTGGCAGACTTTTCATGCCTTACGAACTAAGACAAAGCTGTCTAAGCTTACGAACCATAGTGCGTCGTACTTGATTCTTGTGCAGCTTTTAAAAACAAATTCTCACATTAAGCCTCCAATTTTAATAAAATGACCAATTAAGTTCCATTGTTCCAAACAACAATGCCACGGGTTTTATTTAATTTTTCGTTGTTTTCTGGAAACGAAACGTCTCATTGTGAATGGCTCTTGTGGTACGTGTAACGGTACAAATTTGTAGAATGTATTACATGTAAAAACACGGAGATTTTAAAACACCTTGTATAATAGCACGAAGTTAGATCCTTTTTCGTAAAACCTGTAATGTAAAATTGGAAATATGTTCGCGAGAAAATGCGCAGAAGGTCAGGTACATACATATAGTTAAAAGAATCTTTTATTTATTCTTTACAATTTAATATATTTATTTTAATTAATATACCTAAGTATATGAGAAGTTGATTAATATGGAATTATAATGAATTAATAAGTATTTAAGTGTATTTATAGAACTCGGTTAAATATAGAAAATTGTATTTGTATTTAAAAACTGCGGATAAAAAAACGATGCCAGTACGCGCCAAGTTCCTCTGTCGACAATTTATAGATTTTTTTGGTTAAATTAGGCTAAATTTAAAGAAAATTGTTTAAAACATAATTGATAATATTTTATTAAATTTTTTATTCATTCAATTTAAAAAAATATTGTGATAAATACATAGGGATAAAATAAAAAAAAATATTAATTTAATTATTTTCATAACAATTTTATATTGATGTAAGTACCTAATCCTTTAATTTGTTTAAAGAGATAAAATCCTTCATCAAATATCGCAAATACTGAGAACCTCGACGAGATAAGTAAAAAATATTTACCAGTATCTCAAAATTAACAAAGCTATGTATAAAATATTTTCTTTAAACAATCAATAAAAAACCTTAAACCATTTGTCAATTCAAAGTTCAATGTTAACGGTAATATTACTAATGAAGAACATCGATTTACAAAGTATATTTAATTTTAATGTTTTTTTACACAAACCATTAAAAGTATCGATTCAACACAATGCAAATAAATTTCACGGGTCCACAAATTTCGTAACCAAGCAAAATCAGCACAAACATTACAAAAAAATCGTTATTTGACAATCCCAAATATCAAAAAAGTCCTAAGAATCTGGGGTCAAACCCACCCTGTATAGAAGAGTACTTTTTTATCGCTATTAAAATATAATCTTTTCAAATCTTACGTGGGAATTGATAATTCTTAACTCATATGAGTAATACAATATGGTTTGTCCAATATAAATGACTACAATGTATACGGTTGCGTGTTCAAGGTTTGCTAGAAATCAGGACAAATGAAAAGAATGTAAAAAACGATTTTTTATAAGCAAGGCAAGCACACACAAATTCTTTTCGGATCTAAAAATAAATCATCGAAAAAGTGGTTTTGTTTGATCAAAATCTTATTCAATTTTAATTTATTATAGTTTAATAGATACATTTTGATTAATTTAGACATTTAGATATTTATTTCCTGGTTAAATAGAAAGATTAGGCTACAAGATTTTATTAAAATCTATGACCATATATGGCCAATTAAAAAATGGTTGAAATTTTCACAAACAATTATATTTACATTATCTCCCATATATGGGTCACTTATACCATATTACCTTATACAGATTATTTAAATTGCATAGCATTTCACATATAGCCACCATATTTTACTGATTTGTACCTGCACACTTATTCATAGTTGTGAAAATACTACGTAATTATACGCAACAAAAAAATTATATAAATTAAATGCTATTTTCCTGCTTAATGTCTCAAAAAGATCTGCTGGTGGTCTGTATAATAATTTAATTAATTTTTTTATAGAGTTTTGTTTTCTAGTTACGTCTTCACGCAGCTGAAGTCGTAATTTAAAAACCGGTAGTAGGTATGTCTAGTCAGTGAAGAAATCTACTACTATAACACGAACTTGAGTACTCAGTTCGTGTGGTTTTATTTTAAGAAAACAAATTATTGCCTTAAAATTAAATATCAAAATATTAAAGTATTTTCCATTCATTATTATTTAAAATAACTTTGTGTAACTTAGCGACTGTTTCAAGACTCTTATGTCATCTGTCCAAATAAAAAATTCTAATAATATTACTTGGGCGTGAAATAAAAAGTAATAGCGACCTTGTGAATATAAAAAACCTAATAGTGCATTTTCTATAATATGTGACAAAATACAAATTTCATCATGATTTAATATTAGAAATAATTATTTATGTAAATACGTTCAGAAAGTTTGTTTTTTATCACCTGCTAAAAATTACATAAATATTAATTTCCTTTGTGTTTGAGATTTTAATATTTACTATGAGGTGTTCCAAACAAGGAACAGTTTATATTATTTGTTTTTAGTGTTTCTATTAATTGTTTTTTTAAATTTCCTAGAGATATATAGGTACTATGTGCACATGTGGTAAAATATTTGTACTAATTATGTCCTAACATAAATAGTTTACACTAAAATATTCGTTTTACCTTAAATTAAAAATCAATGCTCACGTGAGAATCTCAAGGATTTCTTAATATTTCCGAGGATTTAAAATTGCCCATTACCTTTTATTTTATAGCACGAACGTACTTTTTTAAGTGTAATTTTAAGTCGTACAACTGTTAAATTACCTGTTCTGGTACTTGAAAAATTTGTTTTAATTGTTTACGTTCACATAAGGCCTATAAAAACAAATAAGCCTATAATAATGATGTATGAAAAGAATTAATCGTAGTTTTATATTTTTTTTAGTGAGGAGGACACCTCCTCCCGAACCAGAACCCTTCCAGGAGCCTGTCAAAGAACCACCACAGTACCTATGTAAGACACCGAAAATTACTCAAAAAAATAATAACATTTTTGCTAATTTTTAGTCCGTTTCGCGGAAAAAATCGTCGATCCAGCGGCGCCGCAGATCCTAGGCGAAATCACTAGCGATAGCTTTGAAGCTCTATCGCTAGACAACAACATCAACAACTACCACAAATCGCCGCCCCCTGCCTCCTCCCCCGCTCAATACTCCCGCTCAAAATCGAACCTAGATCAGGTCTACGCCAGCAAACTCACCAAGGAAAACATCCTGCCCAATATTAACAGGACCGGAAGGACTGTGGCACCAAGGTAATGTTTTTTTTTAATTCTGGATTGTTTTTTTTTAATTTTCGCATTTTATTTTTTTTATTTTAATTTTAATTTTGAATTTTTTAATAATATTTTACGATTTTTTTAACATTAATTTTCCTGATGTGATTTTAAATTAATTTGTTTGGATAATTTTTTCTTTTAATCTGTTTGTTTTTTATCCTTTTTTTATTTTTCTGGAGTTTTTTTTGTATTTTTATTTTTTGTTTTCTTTATAATTTGAATTTGAATGTTTTTCGGGAATTTTGATTTTCTATTTTAATTTTTTTTAATTCTTGAATTGCCTGTGGGATAGTAATATACAGGGTGTCTCAGATTTAATCGGGAAAATGTAGTAGTTAGTAGAACTTGAAAAATTAAAAAGAAGAAGAGAAGAGAAGAAGTTTGTATGGACTTGTATGCTTTAAACTTTAAAGCATTGTTTTCGAGATACATTTTTTAAAGTTAATAAAAATAAATGGTTACGTCACTTTTTTTATAAGTTTGATATTATATTTAGATTAAGCAACTAAAAATACAACTTTTTCGTGTTTTGCATTTTTTTTTCATCTTGTTGAATTTACAACAAAAAAATTAAATTCGATTCTCATAACCATTTTACCAATTTTTTGTGGGGTGCGCAAACAGATTTTATTTTTTTCCTGAAAATTAATCAAGATTGACAGGAAACAAAAAGTAATTTTTTTATTGCTTAATCTAAAAATAATATTAAACTGATAAAAAAACAGTATTGTACCCAATTTTTTAATTGTCTAGTTGGGATACCCCAGCGCCCCCCTGCATAAGGTTTTATTAAATTCGGCCAAGGAGTTTTTAAAAATTTTGAAAAAATTAAGATTTTTTTAGTAACTTTAGTAAAGTTACTTTACCACCCTATAACTTAAAAACATATGAACTTGAAATTTAAACTTTTCTTCTTATTTTTTTAAAATCCATTGACTACTAAATATTCCCGATTAAAATCTGAGACACTGTGTCGGAAAGAAACTGGAAAAATTGGGGAAAAAACGGGGTTTCTGTTTTTTTTCCAGGCCCTGGATTTTTTTTTGGAAATAACACATTTAAAAAAAATTAGCAATCAACAAGTTAAAATTATTTTAATAAAAAAAAATTTTTTGACATGAAAAAAAAACAAACATTGAAATAAATTAAATTGATTTAAGAAAATAAACATAAACGTTGAATATACTGTCGGTTAGATATTTTATTCAGAAAGGAGTCCATTGAAAATATCCAAATCCAAAATAATGAATTAGAGTAAATTAAAAAATTATAATTTTATAAAAGTGTCAAATAATACGAAAATTATGTTAATACAGCACCAAATATGTTTTTTTGCGATCCGGTACGATATTCTTACCAAATAAAAAAAGGAATAATCATTATAATCATAATATTTTTTTTGCCGTCTCAAATTTTCCGGAAATTTTAAAACTCTAGAAACTAAATTAATTTACCCTTACAGGTATAACCTCCAAAGGCAGAGCAGCTGTAAGGACGTCCCGGAAAAGGACAAAATTCCCACGCGATCGAACAACATGAGACACAGCGTCTCCGAGGACACGAACGTGAACAAAGGCTCGATGTCCTCGAGAGTGTCCTTGCGGAAAAACTCCATAACCTCCTCCCGTCCGGTAAGGACCTCCGTGCCTAACCTCACAAAAGTGCCACCGCCGAACAGTGCAAGGACTAACAGAATAGACCGAGTGAAGTTGAACTTGATAACCAACGGGGATCAGGTGGATATTTATCTGCCTTCGAAGATTTCCCCGGAGGAGAGACCTCCAAAGGAGGAGAGTTACGTGCCAGTTTCTATCGATAAACCTGTCGGGATTATTTTCGACGATTTCCTACCTGTAAGTATACTTAATAACCTTTTGACGTTTATTTTTAGCTGATTTAGTTGACCTTTTGAGTATAATGCCATGAAAAGTAATCTGATGTAATTATACAAGTATCTATGGCACCCTGTTTCACTTTTTATTTGGATAATAAGAATATTAAGAAATATTAAGTTAAATATTAATGCTTAAAAAATAAATTGCACAGGAAAATAATATGTACCTTCAAACTAATACTTTTATACATTTATACATTAATACATTAATTATTATTAGAATTATACATGTCAAAAAAAAGTTTTTCTTCTTTTAAATATGTGTATACATGTATAATATGTTGAATTATTTATTTAATGTTATTTTTCTGTGTACAATATTTTTGTGACACACTAATATTTAACATAATATTTCTTATCCAAATAAAAAGTGAAACGGCGTGCCATAATTAATTTTATGTGTACGCATAATTTTAATTGTAATAAAATTAATACAATTAATTTTATGTGTATACCAAATTACTGCACTGAATTTTTATTTTGTAATTAAAATCATGATTATATAATAAAAATTTTAAAATTAATTTTATGTCTACACATCAAATTAATTTGGCGCTGCGAAAGTGCGGCCGAAAGTGGCAACTAGTAGGTATGTTTAATTTATCTACGTCATATAACTATATCACACTTCTAGTTTTGTGGATGATATACATAGAAATAATTTCTATAATATATATTATATAGTATAGATAGAAGGACAAACTATTAGACAGGGCAGTTATATTGGTTACCATTATTTACGAAAAAAAACAAATAATGTTAATAATATGCAATAGGAGTAGAAAATATAATAGTATATTATGTATCAAGTTTTATGCCATTTCAGTAACGAGTTTTATTAGGGACGAGGGAAGCTTGCGAGCGAGTTTTTAATAAAAACGAGTGTCTGAAGAAGTTTATAAAACGAGTTGCATACTATACTTTATCTACGACGAACACAGTGAAGAATTTAAAGCCAATTTTATTTGTTAAAAATTTGACATCTGTCAACTGTCAACGGATTTTACCTAACTTTTTTCCAATTTATAATAAAGCTAACTTCAGCCCGTGACTAAAATGCCCAAAAGCCACTGTTGCCAACTTCAGCCCGTGTCTAAAACGCCATTAAGTCACAGCTTATTATTGGGAGAGTAGATAAAATAGTTTAAAAATCTTGTTTAAAAAAAATTGTTCAGCAATTTTTTTAGTCTCACAATAATTCCAATATAAATTTCAAAGTAAAAAATTAAATAACCTTATACGAAATAAAAATGGACCAAATTAAAATGACGCAAATATTAATTTAACTAATAAAATAATAATATGTAAAATTTTTAAATAATAATAGTTCGCTATTTATCCTATCTGTTTCCATTTAATTTATGATTGGCATAATTTTATTTAATTATTATTATGTAAAACATGATTAAAATTATAAAAAATTAAATATTCCATAAGGGGCCGTTCATTAATTACGTGAGACAATTTTGGCGATTTTTCGACCCCCCCCCCCTCCCGTTGGTGAGATGTCGTGAGATTTTGCTCGACCCCCTCTCCCCCCCTTAATCTCACGTGAGATTTTTTAAAATGCATGGTTTTAATGTAAATAAGTTAATCTGTGCTTTATTCCATTAGATTTATTAAAAAAAAACAATTTGCTTATAATTGTTTACTTAATTTAACCCAGTTTTCTCGCAATTTAACACTCTTTCTTTCGGAAAAAAAAATTACGTGATATTTGCCGAGAGCCCCCCTCCCCCCCGCGTGAGATTTGGTGAGGTTTAGCTCGACCCCCTCCCCCCCTAAACACCTCACGTAATTAATGAACGGCCCCTAATTTTAAAAAACCTTTTTATTATTAATAATAATAATTATTATTTTATTTTCTTTTATATTTAAAACATTTACGATTATAAAGTGCGTGTTATAATAATAATAATATATTTATTTACCAAGAAAAATATTCATACAAAATACTAAGAAGAAATACAAAATAGTAAATAAATATTACAAACTCACTAAAGTTTAGAACTTGCGTGAGATAATAAATGCATGTATAATAAAAACGCAAACACAAAAAATAATAATTTTAAATCTAAAAATTATAGTAACTCCATTTACAACAAAAGTAATGCTTTTTACAATAAAAGTAATTCTATCAACAACAAAAAAAATCTATTTACAATAAATTTGAAAAAATATTAAGACATGAAGACAAGAATTTTAGTTCTGTAAAGTCTTGTTCTTGAAATTTTTATTAAGAGATGGAAATCGGACTGAAGTTTAAAGCTTACGTTTGTTGAAAGAAAAACCACCAGGCGATGATGGGCTTCCAGCACCAGCTGCCCGACATGTCCGAAGCGGAGGTTCTGAACGTGGTGATGCGCGGTCACGAACCCATCATGGGCATCCTGGCGGCGCGACAGCGCAGCCTCAAGATCGTCTTGGCGCAGTCGCGCACCAAGGACCTCAAGGCGGCCGTGGAGACGGCCATCGCGATGGACGACCTCTCCGTGCTCGTCGACGTTCTGGGAGTTATTAATAGCAAAAAGTAAGACGAAGATGCGCCGTGGAAATGTTTTGTTATTGAGTTTTTTTGTTGTTGTAGTTCTCTTTGGAGTTTGGATCTATGCGTTCACGTGCTCACCAAAATGGAGGAGTTGTTGCAGAGTAAATATGAAACGTAAGTATTTTGTCATTTACCCTTTTTTTGTTTAATTAAATTCTTTTATAGAAAACAGCATAAAATGTAGTGGATAAAACTCCCTACATTTTTTGTTTGCAATTTTTTTTCCAAAACTGTTATAGCGCATACATAACTCAGGAACGGTGTGGTCTATAGTAGCATAAAAAAGTTAATATGAACTTAGTACGTTTTTTCGAAATAAACAGCTTTTTTAATTACAGTGCGGCGATAAAAATATTTTTCGTGGTCAAAAATCGATAAAACCCTTTTTTGCGTAACTACTTTTTTAATTTTTCATCCTAGAGCAATGCTACAACTTGTAGCCTACAAGAGCATTGATTGTAGGAGATAATTTCTTCTATTTTTTGTTCACAAAAATTTATTCGTAAACTTACCGTTTTCGAGAAAAATTAAATCCAAAAACTTTCCAACCCACAAGCCCCAAAAGATTCATGCAAGAAAAATTACTACATAGTCCATATGACCATATAGTGATTTTTTCCGAAAAATATGTTAAATTTCCCTGAGGAACACTTACATAATTATAGAGTTATATTTTGATAGTTTAAACTATAATATTATCAACTACCTCATATATGAAATATGGCAGTGATAAATCTATTAGCCCTTAGCTGTATTTGCTGATTTTTAGATTTTCTACCCATAGTGCAGAACCACACAAATATTTGTTAAAATTGTTTAAAAGGACAAAGAAGGACACTGGTAATAAGGACTGTCCTCCTTAAAGTAGGAGGTCTGGTCACCTTACAGTTTGTTTTTTTATGTTATAACATATTTCCTAAATTGTTTTTTATGAATAATCATATTTTTTTCTGGAAAGTTTTTTTTAAGTCATATTTTCCTTTAATGTTTTGTCTTGATTTTTTACATACATACATATGTGAATCATGTCAATTGCTTTATTCAAATCATTTTAAGCTTTTTTGTCATGTTTTTTTGCTTTTTATTATTTTTCTACGAATTTCTATCTTTTATTCGTTTTTGTTATTTTCCGCCAGATGGCGCTTTAACAGCCTTGTTATCTGGGTTGCATACTTTTTACACACCAATTTCTTTTTTACTTTTTTCTTGTTTTCATTTTTTGTAATATATAAAAAATAATGTTTTACAAGTGTTAAAAAGCGACTTTTTCATGCGAGTGTTGCTCACGAGACCGTTAGGCAGAGTGTGCATTAACATGAGCTTAAAGGAAGCTTTTCTCACAAGTAAAATACCTACAATGTTTTATTTATTTTTATTATTTTCAAATACAAAACAAAATAACCTAAAAACGTGACAGCTAAATTTCAAACGATGCTGTCAATTTCTTTTCACACAGAAATGTCAATTTACATTCGAGTTTTGCCTTGCCAATGAAAATATTCATTTTCTAAGCAACTAATTGTGAAAATTATTTGACGACATTTTTATAAATTTTTCATACTGTAATGAAGATTTTCCTGATTTTACCCAATTTGCAATTTTTTTGGTGATGTTTCTTTTAAATGGTTTCTCTTTTTTTTTAATTTATTCTAATATAAAAAATCTCTTTGGATCTTTTAGTCGCTTTTTGTATTTTCTGCCGGATTGCCTACTTTTTACGGACCATAATTAAGCGTATAATAAAGTTCATATTATAACACTTACACTCTATAGTGTGTGCGATTTAAGACCGCAACATCCCATTATTTTGGTACGCCTTGACCGATTTTAATATATATTTTGGGACATAGTGCTCTATAACCTCTATTTAACCACGTGGACAAAAAATTAAACTCAATACCTTATATAGGGTCAAGTCAAGTACTTTGATGTGTGGAGCATAGTATTATTTAAAAAAAAAAATATTTGTTTTAATTTTCTGTATATATTTAACGAAATTTTTTTTAAATTTTTTTAATGAAAAAAATTATACTCCAAGTACTCTAAGGTTTTATATACAAGACTTATAAGTGTAATAAAAATTATTAAAAATAAAACCCATTTCTCGATCCTTTAGTTGCTTTTTGTTATTTTCCGCCAGAGGGCGTAACTGCTATTTACAGAAAACTGTAGCTTTAAATAAAACGGTTCATCAATTTTTTGCCAGATGGCGCTAATGCAGCTTTTGTTATCATGGTTGTATACCAAAATAAAATATTTGTACAGTGGTGTACACTGAATTTTGTTCGTCCTAATTTTTTGGTCCATTTTTTCTTTCGCTGTCAAGATGACAAGACTAGTGATAAGCGGAAGTAAGATTAGTTTTCCATTAAGGAAGTTTATATTTTAATGTCAACGGGGTGATAGTTGTTCAAAATTCCCTGTCCACCACTTTATAATCAATATCAAAAAAAAATAAAAATCACTTTTTAGTTTTTATTTTATAATATATATAAGTACGCAATGACAACTTTTCAAATTATATGTCAATCAATGTCGGTCAGAAGCCAAAAAAAGCATAATGAATATGTTACTTTTTCTATTTTAGACATAATTTATTTTTAATATATTTCAAACCTACCTCCATCACAAAAACAATCAAACTCAGAGTCCAACCAAATGTCAAAATAGTAACAGCGCCCTCAAAATGCGTCAAATTCAAAGGTTTCGTATAAATCAAACTGAATCTCGCCATCGACAACTGATTTAATACATCTATAATATTATAAGTCAACGAGTAGTATCTATAGATAATCCCTACGGATTTCAGCCTGTACAAAAGTTGATTTATACGGAGGAACATCGGAAACCCTTTGGTGAAATACCAGTTTACCAGAATCATCCAGAAATATTTTTTCTTGTTAATGTAAATTAAAGATTTCCCGTCTTGGTTGATGTAGTATATCGGTAAGGTGTAGTCTGTTACCCATTGGGGTGAAGCAGTTACTACGGTTTTGTCAAAGGCTGTTTTGTTGAGGCACTCTATGAGGTTTCGGCAGATTATGTGGTTTTCGTAGATATATTTTTCGTTTTCCTCGTGATATCCCTCGAATATTTCTTCCAGGCCTTTCGTTAGGCCTATGTAGTATTTGGAGGATATTATGTCTTTAAAATTCGATAGATCTTCTACATTGCCATCTTCCGTTTGTAGTAGTATGAGTTTGCTAGTGAATAAAGCATAAACAATTATAACAATAAATCTAAAGGTTTGAGTTGCCAATCTAGTACTCCAAAAATCAACAGTTTTACTTGAGGTAGACAGAGCTATACTCAAAGATTGCATAACACATTTAACAAGGTCTTTTCTGAACCCTAAAACCATAGAGTTTACGTAGAGGAAAACAGAAATACATGCAAAATATGTTAGATATGAAAACCATATTGTTTTATCGAAAATATTGGTTATTCTTTTAAAAGAAGTCCTCTTGTATTCCCTAGGAGCAACCCATGAAACATACTCCTCGCAAAAAGAAAAAGTCATGTCGAAATCATTGTAAGGAAAAGATTTACCTTGGAACAAACCTATGGCGCTATCGATAGTTTTGTCGTTTATAGATTTTAGAGCTCCAGTGTTGAGCAAGTGTTTTTCCAGCTGATAACCATATTGTGTGTGCTTTTCTTTGTAGGTAATCTTGAATTTAAGAATGCTTTGTAGGGCTTTATATACGTAAACTTCAAAACCGTTTATTTCTTTATTGTCCACTACTTCTACATACGGGGGTATTTCTATGTACCCTAAGTTTAACGTGGTGTTTCTCCACAATTTTGGAATTTTACTCGGGAAAATGTTTCTTTTATTATCCAAACATTCATTAAGATAATGTATTTCCAAGTTTGGTTGGTGGACATTTTCGTATTTATATGGGAAATACGTGTATAACTTCATAGAATCTGGATTCATTATAATAACATTTGTTATATATAAATTGGCTAAAACCTTAAATATGCGGGTTGTTATATTTCTTGTAATTACAACAAATTTTGCTCTGGGATTAAAGTTGCATCTACTCATTATTCGGTTAAGTGCCTCGTTTATATTATGGGTTTCCAGATTTATTATATAGTTGCTTACCTTCACAAAATCATATTTAAAATTTCTTTCATTATTCCCTATAAGTGATTGTTTTAAATTTTTTATTTTTATAGTGTAACCTTCAGAATTCCATATAGTAACATCTTTTAATTTAAAGTACTTATTTGCTATCCCTTGCAGACATTTATCAATTTTCTTATTGTCCTTATATTCCAACTCTATTACGCCAAAAACAACCACTAAAATAACTGTGAAGCAAAAAATACTTTGCAACATTTTTGTTCTAGAATTAAAACTAAAATTATGTTTTATTTAGTTAACGCACTATTCAATTTTTCCAATTTCCTATTCTTATTTAACTGGATTGTTCATGCTGTCAATATTTGTTTTTCTTTGCGGTCATAAATCAGGTCGATATTAATTTCCATAAACAGATAGAGATCGGTAAATAAAGTTTTAGTTTAAAATTGTCACTGACATGTAATTAAATTATAATTATACCTTAGCGTTAGGTATACTTAACCAGGATCAAAAATACACAGTAAAAATTTGACCACTCTACTATTACTAGGGATACCATTAGTGTCGAAAAAAAAAACCGGAAAATTGGGGTAAATACATTTTCCGTTTTTCCCCAGGTCTTGAAAAATTGGCTTTTTTGGGAAAATGATTTTTTTTTTGGAAAATATACACATTTGAAAAAGTAGTAATTAACAACTTAAAATTTTATTAAAAAAAAAAAATATCCTTTATTACAAAAAAAACAAAACTAAATATTGAATTAAATTAAATTGATTTAAGAAAATAAACGTAATCATTAAATATACTGTTGGGTCTTGATTATTATCAGCGTCGGAACTTCACTTTTTTCTCGATATCAGTGTACGGATATTATCCGTAAAAATTTGAAAATTTTCAGCATTTTGTTCGAATTAACCTTTAAATAAAATAAAAAAAAGCAACAGTCAATTTTTCTGAAAATTTCACAATTTTAAAACCTTAGTTACCAAAAAAGCATGACGTCTGACCCGGAGTTTATTAACATGAAAAATAATTTATTTAAGGAGTCAATTGCGAGATTCTCTTGCTTGAAAAAAAATTCTGAAGCACACCCTAAAGGTTGGTATTTACTTGGAAAGTGGAATTGCAAAGTCTCACCTCAATTGGATAACGTTAATTCTTGCCTCAACTTTAAAAGTAAAAAAAGCGAATATTTTAAAATTTATGGAAAAAATCGCAGTTTTTTTAGACTTCATCTCATCAAGTCACGAGTTAAATTTTCCAACTAAACTGAATTTTATTTTGTCACCAAGTAAACGTTACATAACTTTAAATCCGATTTTGTATTTTGGAAAATATTTTTGCTTATATGTGGACCCTAGAAGCCAAGGGAAGCAAGTGTCATTTAAAAAAAAGTAGTTATGTACAGAAAAAGATAGTAAATGGTACATTTTACTTGGTATCCAAGGGATATAACTGAATTCTACACAAAAAAATCTAAGAACAGCGCTGTCATTGAATGCATTAAAATTGAAGCAATCTAAATTGTTATTTGCTCAATTAATTACTATTAAACCAAAATAGGGAAACATTTTGCCTTATTGACAAAGAATGTATTGCGTTAATTGTAGTCTATTTATTAGTTTATTAGTATAGTTATAAAATAAAACAAATTAGTATTTAATTCAATAATATTCTAACAACTAAATATCAATATAAATATCAATAGATTTAGAAGCGATAACTTTTGTTGTAATTTAAAAACAGTAAACGATTATTATTATAGGAACTGTTATTCAGGAATACGGGGTCCTTATATAGGGTCTTAAAATATAATTTTGTTATGAAAAGTTAATATAATATAATATATACTCCTATTGCATTATATTGTTTTTTCGTATAAACTGCGCGTCAAAATTAACGAATAATAAGTCTAAAACGCCTTTACCAATCTTTATGAAATTTTGTATAAAAATACTTCAACTTATATCTCAGTTTACGTGTTAAAGGATTTTTATTTAATAATAAAAAAACGAAAAATAATTTCTAGGGAATTTTTTTTAAAGTAAATATGCTGTTAAATACCGCATTTTTGTTAGAATAGGTACCCTGAAAATTTTGTACAAATCAAACGAATAGTAACGAAGATACAGCTCTTCAAAGTCGGTAAAAATGACCCCTTTTTGATTATTTTGCTGAAAAGTGGTAATTTTTGACGACTTTGAAGCGCTGTGTTTTCGTTACTGTTCGTTTGATTTGTACAACATTTCTAGGGTATACTAACAAAAATACGGTCTTTCACAGCGTATTCTTTATTTACTTTTAAAAAAATTCCCTCTAAAAGTTTTTTTTGAGCTTTTTTTTTATTATTAAATAAAACGGCTTTAAGAATATTTTCTCGAAAAACCCTTGAACACGTAAACTGGGATATAAGTATTTTTATCCAAAATTTTATAAAGCCGTTTTTAAGTTGGATTTTTTTTACTTGTGCGTTAATTTTGATGCGCATTGTATAATGATAGCCATTAAAACCGCCCAGCCTAACAACGGTAATAATGCACTCATTATTCCCGTTGTTGGGCATTAGTGATTGGCCGATTTCATTAGACACAATCGGGTTTTAAATTGGATGGAGGCGACTATAATGAAATTGGTATAAAGTAAGGTTAACCATCTGACAGATTTCAGATTTTATTTGGCGTAGATAGTAGTAGGTACATTATGTATTAAGTTTTACAACGCTATTTTAGTTACGAGTTTTATTAGGCACGAGCTTGCGAGCAAGGGTTTAATAAAAACGAGTGGCTAGAGAAGTTTATAAAACGAGTTGCATACTATACCTACGAGTTGCATACTTTACCTACGACGAATACAAAGAAGAATTTTAAGCAATTTTTTTTGTTAATATCTGACGAATTTAAGCCCACTTTTTCGCAAATTATAATAAAGCTAATTTCAGCCCGATAGATAAAGTATAATATTACACTCTAGATTATCTCTCGTATACCTAATATAATATTATTGGTGATTTTTTAAATAGTCAAGAAATTAAAATGAATTAGAAAAAAATAAAAATTTGGCTTTAAACTTGAAATCGGGAAAATGACAACAATAAAGTTTGAATTATAGACCGATTGAAAAAAATAAGTTTTTTTTTCATTCATATGCCTATGTATGCCTAGCTATAGAAAAACTTTATTTTTGTACGGAGTTTAGAAGTCAAATTATTATACACCGCCGTACAATATTGAAAGTGCATTTAAAGAGTGGTTCCATCCATTAGATAGATAGATAATTAAAAATTACAGGTCACGGTAGAATAAATTCATACACATAACCTATAATTTTACATATCGTCGCCTTCAGGAGAAAATTGCTTAACTCCATGTTGTAAAATTTTACAGGAGGAAAGAAAAACATATTAAAGGTGTATTGGTGTATCTCCACATTACCGCCAAAAAATTGTTTAATGGAAAATTACGTATCTCCAATATGTACTTTATGTTAATAAAAGTAACCTTAAATTATTCATGGTACCTTAACTTTACACACTATACAATCTTTCATACTTACATACAGAAAAAATAACTAGGCAATAACTTATACTTGTCAATGGCACTGATTTGTATATTGGAGTTAGGCATTATTCCCTGGACGCTCCTCCACGATTGGAGATACGTATATTTCTTTTTCTAAATTTAAAATTAACGGTTTATTTTAGGACTTCTGTAACTTGCATATAAATTAGTTACAGTTTTATCTAACAGATGCCACTAAAATACAATTTTAATGAAAATGTGGAGTTACGTGATTTTCTCCTGAAGGCGACGATATGTCAAACGTCAAACCCATGACAAAATGTAGCACTCAAGAATTTATAAAAAATAGTGTATTAATGTTTTATTTGATGGTATAATTTGCGTTAAAAATAATAAAAATTTAAACTTGTGCCTTGTCAAGTTTTACTCGGGTGGTTTGAAATATTAATCAATTTGTGTAGAGCGGCAAATTTTATTTCGCACACTGTAATCACCACTAAGTTTGCCATTCTTCAAAATAATAATAATAAATAATTCATAGATTATGTAGACATGACACCCTAAACAAATACTCTGATAAGTATGCAAAAAAGTGCCAAAGTGTCAAGTTGCTGCTTCTCGTCCATCAAAACACATCGAGTCCTTTCACGTTCGGTGACATGAAGAGCACTCGAATATTCAAATGACGACGGGCGACAATGCGATTGTATGCAAACACGTCCAGGTACGGAAAAAAGGGATTTTTCTCATGCGCGGTCCCGAAAAGGGTTGCGTGCGGCGTGTCGGATTGCCACTGCGAGTGCATACGCAATAGGAAATTCGGGCCACGCGTAATGCGTCCAATGAATAAGTAATTCGGGCGACGCTGACCCAACAAAACGACGCCGATTTTTTTTATTGCCGTGACCGTGTAATCGGTCTTAAATCGGGCTGTATACTATGAAAAGACCTCTGGGAAAGGATTGGAAAAAATTGATTTTAGATAAATCAAAAAATATTACAAATATACAGGGAATTTCTTAATTGGATGGGTTCAATCCATGAATTATTTTAAGGAAAAAATATTAAAAAAAATTTTTCAACGTAATTTTTCTTTTTACGATTTTACAGAGTTTATTTGTATCCAATAATTAGGGCTCGGATTTGTAAATAAAATAAAATAAAATATGCTATATATTCCCTTAAAAACACCGAAATATATTTATATTTATATATGCGTTTAAATTTAGAAAAATATAAGTATGATATATAATAAAATAGAATTAATTAATGTGAAAATATAGTATATAGTATAGTATTTATACGAGCCCTAACCACATAATGTTCGGA